GCAACAGATGTTAGCTCAGGGCCAATCTTCCTCACTAAAAAAAAAAATCACGATAGAGCTCCTCAGTCATCTGTTTAAATAATTCAATATTTCCTCTTGAATATAAGGCTTCTTACTTTTTCCTGTTAAATTTGGCATTTGGGATTCAGTGCTTTGCTGAGACAATGGCTGTTGATTATCAACTAAGATCCAACATTTTTCAGACTACCGTTTTTCAGTCCGTTGAGCCTTATAAAGCTAAAGCAGAGACAAGCTTCATCCAAAAATCCTCAAATTCCAACAGAAAAATCCTTGCCCTCCAGAAGCAGCCGTGGTGACAGCAGCAAGCATTCTTTAAGCTTTAAGCGCATTTCATTCCCTCCCCTAATTCTCTTAGCACTGAAAAGGAACCTCTCGGGTAGGAAAACGATGCCAGCTTTACGCCACAGTAGACGCGTCTGTCTGTGCTACAAGCGCTGGGCGTGCCGTGGTGCCGGCAGGAGTGGAGGCCACCTGGAAAGCTCTTCTTAGATTTGTTTATTTTACAAACTTTTACACGTCCTCCAAAACTTAGCCCACATACTATTATCTATTCAAGGATGATGGAAATGCATTCCCACACAAGAAAAACACGGAATAACTTGATTATGAATATGAAAACAACTCTAACGTCACTCCTGCAGGAAGCCCTTCCTCGCTGCTGCTTACACTCTATAATCACTTCAACTGTGGTTCCTTTCTTTTATTAATTATGTTTATTATGGAAATTTTCAGGCATATCCAGAAGTAGAGTGAATTGAGCCCCCAGGCACCCTTTCCCCACCTTTAACAATTACCAACATTTTTCAAAGCTTGTTTCATCTGTCTCTCCTGGACCTGGTTTTTTTTTTTTTTTTCCCCTTTTTGCTGAGGAAGATTCGCCCTGAGTTAACTTCTGTTGCCAACCTTCCTCTATATTGTTTTGTTTTCTGGAGCATTTTAAAGCAAATCCCAGACATCCCACCAGTTCGCCAGTTTTGTATCCACTTCCACTGCATTTATCACTTTGTAGTGGAATCTGTGTCCGTGTCAGTCTCCTGCTGGACCCCTGGTCTTCAGGAATAGGAGCCTTGATGGCGTTAATGACCAGCACAGAAACTGGCCCACGGGAGGTGTTCAAACACTTGGAATTCAACGTGTAATCAAGGGCAACAGATTTACTGCTGTCGACTTACAGTCTTAATTCACGGAAAGCATAACGCCTCAGTCATCAAGTCCGTATTTGCCAAAGACTCGTTTACTTAGGACCGAGCGCTGAGGATTAGAATGGGGGCCGTGCAGCAGAGCGCCTGGGTTTCAGTCCCAGCTCTTCCCCGACTTGCTGTCCTTGGGTACGGCAGGTTGCATTTTCCAAAGACGGCTGCCGTCATATCTCCTGTCCTGCATGTTCTAGGATGTGGCCAATTCCCCATCGAGAGGCGGAGTTTATGTTCCCTCCCCTTAACTCGGGGTGGGCTTGGGACCATGGTGGAAGCGATGTTATGTGACATTCAAGGTGAGGTCCTAGAGGCAACACAGCTTCCACCTTGCAGGCTGGAACACTCACCTGGAGCTCCGTGCTGCCAGGTAAGCAGCCTGACTGCCCTGAGACTGCCATGCTGTGAGGAAGCCCAGGATCACAGGGAAGGATCCCAAGACTAAATGGAGAGGCCATGCCAGCCCCACGCTGCTTCAGTTCCCTGGTTCTCACAATCCCCATTGTTCTAACTCCAGCTACCTGCGGCCAACAATCACATGAGCGAGCCCAAGCCAGGACTGCACAGCCACGCCCCTCCTGAATTCCTGACCCCTAAAACCATGAGAGATGATGACTGTCGTTTTAAGCATTAAGTGCTGGGATGGCTCATTTTGCAGTGACAACCAGAACATCGGTTCTCTGTGCCTCGGTTTCCACGTCTTTAACATGGAGATAGTAACAGCACCTACACCACATGGGGCTCTGGGAGTGTTGAATGAGGTAGAACCCAACCGTGTGGCACATTGTAGCACTCAATAAATGTTGGCGATTATCAATGAGAAATAGTTTAGAAATGCTGACCAACCTAATAGAGAGAATATCTGCAAGTTCCCATTTGCCATGAATGGTGGCACCTCCTGGATAACAATATATTTCATATATGAAAAATCAACTTCAAGGTTGCTATGAGTTTTACATTCTTTCAATAATTGGGGAGAAAATAGAATTAAAAAATTGCTCGATACATCTAGGATATACAGCTATGTGCTGGGGCTTTGGGGAGAAAAAAAAAGAGGAAGATTGGCAACAGGTGTTAGCTCAGGGCCAATCTTCCTCATCAAAAAAAAAAAAAACCACCACACCTCATATATATATATATATATATATATATATATATATATATATATATAAATAAATCACTCAGGCTATAATTCGCATGGTGTAGATCCCCTGAAATGCAGGAGGGCTTGGCCATTCTGACTTTGGCCCTCCCTCCCTCTCCAGTAAAGCATGTTTCAGAAGCAGAAACAATGCAGCCTGTGATCACTTTCTCTTCTGTTCTCAGGCTTAAGTAAATTGAGTGGAAGGGAAAATTTCTCACAAATCTGATCTTTGAAGAGAAGCTGAATATAACTAAACTATGAATTTCTTTTCTCTTTCATGAAAACGTGGTGTTTTATACTCATTTAGGGAATTTTATCCAGCTCTTTAGTAGATTGAAAATGGCATTGTTTGCTAAAATAAAAGGAAGATGGTTATGGAGTTCACCAAAAGATGGCATGAGTATCACTTGCTAGAAATGTTTAGAAACAAAACGGTAAGTGTAAAAGAAGATACTTAAGAATATTGGGAGAATAAAATCAAACATGAATTTGTTTTCTTATATATCTTAATGCATAGGATCAATGATTCTTAGCATCATTCATAATGCTTTATTGGGGAGGATTTATGGCATAAAAAAAGGGAGAGGACAAGACAAAGTGCACATTTCTCCTAGGTATCATGTATTCATTTAACAGTCTCTGATGTTGCATATAACTGCTTGTTGAAAATTACAGTCGCGACTATTTATATTCACTCTACTGTGAAACAGTACAACCCATCTCTAAGTATTTTTTACATTCCTTTAGGTTCCTTTTCTGGGGTTTTACGTCAAGAGCGGGGGCTTCAGAAGTATTTGCTGGGACCGCATGGACCCTCCCCATTAAAAGCGTGAGCTTAACTTTTCCACTTGCTGTGTTTTTTCCTTAGAAGCACTCCCTCTCTCTCACTGCAATGCCAACACGGAAATTACAACTCAGAATCCTTAACAGCCATTATCAGGGACAGTACCAACTGGAAATCTTTTTATAGTCTGGGCGGAGATAAACACGGGCCGTGAAAGAAATGACTGAATTAAAACAAAAGTAAAGAATGTTTCCTTCAAGTAATGCAAAAGACTTTAAGAAAAATTCAGTGTAAGAGTCATGCTCCCTACAACCTCTTAAAGAAGATTTCAAGGATAAGGAACCTAAGACTTTATCGGGAAAGCTGAATTGAAATTGTAAGTTGAACTTTTAGGATCATAAAAACACAAAATTAAGCAAATTAAGGATTTTTTTTCTCCCAAACACTTTGTCATCCTCATCCTCTTGGTGACACTCGACACTGATTGCCCACCGGTGCTTACCTTCACGGGACAGGAATCACACTTTGACACACATCTCCCCCAAACTGACAATGCTTTATTTGAAGGTTTACAGCCCTGAGTGGCGTCTAACACTGAACTGGTAGAGAGCAATACTGAGAACCAAGTGGTAACACGGTACGGTTTTCACGAGGGACAAAGACTGTGGCTGATGGCACAGAGGCAGGACACTTGTAACACCAGTCAATCAACAGATCCTGCAACACTGTGACAGCTGATTTTTGGACCCATGGAAAATCATGATTTCACGTATTTTCGAATTCAAAAATAAGTAAATAGAATACATTCACAGGAGAATTAATGATATGGGGGCATTCCTGGCTGGGAAAGGATGACTCTGTCGCCAGCTCTAAGAAACATCAAGGAAAAGCACAGACCTATTTACTTGGTGTATTTACAGTCGCAGACGCACTTACACAAGTCACACTAACATCATGGTAAGAATTGTGACGTGGGTGTCAGTGACCCATTAGTTCTACACAGACTTTGTGTCTGACAGTGGCAGTGTTACCGCGAGAGAGCTTCATTACATAAGCATCAGACCACCTTAGAATTCAAAGGGACCTTGAATTTTTCAAACTGCAGGTTACGTCCATTAGTGGGTCATGCAATCAACAGAGAAGGTTACACCAGGGATATTATTTAACAAAACAGAGTAGGATATAAAATATAAGCATATACAGATGGTGAGTAGTATTTCATGAAACTTTTGTTTACAGTATTATATATTTACATGTATACACACACATGCATATATATATATGCTCAAGTACTGCATATGTAAAATGTGTCAACACATTCTGACAACACAGACTCTCCAGTAGACGCAAGCATATCCCCTTCAGCCTTCCCATCAAAGGGGATGAGGATACAGACGTTGCTGGCAGAGCATCCTGTGGGTCAGGCATGGTTTCAAGCTCTGCTCATGTGTTAATTTTTATCATCCTCATGACAATACCTCTGAGATAGATACTATCATCGTCTACATCTTGTGGATTAAGAACACCAGATACACAGATGGTGACCAACCCGACCGAAGTCACCTAGCCGGCTGCAGCAGCGCCAGGATTTGATCCGAGACAAGCTGGCTGCAAAGACAAGCTCCCACGGCCCCCACCTGAGAAGTCGTGGTAACAGGGAACTCATGTCCCCACAAGATGGTCCACTGCATTGCCCAAGTCTCCCCACAGGCTAGCAGAGCCAGTTCTCGAACACAGATCTCCCAGCGTTCAATCTTATGCTCTCCACGACACCTCATGCAACAGTGTCCTTAGTAAGAGCTGTTTCATGAGGCAGAAATCAAACGAGCTCAAGAGAAATAAAAGATAGATACAAGCATATTTGAAAGAGAACATTTATTTACATGACTATTTCCTTTTTACAACTCCTACAGCTTTAAATAATAAAATTTTCCAGGAAATCAAGTAGTTTTAAATTAAGATATTTGAACAAAGAAAATTTTCATAGTATGATTTTTATTTACAAGAATTTTCAAGAGTTTTAAATAGTTCTTTTGAAACTGCACAGCACAACTAAAAGCCCTTTTTTAGACCTTGCATCTCTTTCAAAAACTTTTAGTGTAGGAAATTATGCTTATAGTCAAGTCCTTGCAACCAGAACCTTGCAGGTGAAGATCTCGTTAACACACTTACAAAGAGAAATCTGCTTCACAAATGATCCCCATTTTGGCTCTGAGCTGAACCTATGTGACATGTTTTGACAGTAAGCACACATACTTTTTAGACAACTTAAATTGCTTTAATTAGAACCTTCTGGAAGTTTTCTGTATCAGTCATACGGTTGCTTACAAAGTCGTTGTGATGTATTCTGAGCACACATTGCCTTTACGAGGAAGTTTGGCCGAGTCTGAAGGAGACACGGGGGGTGAGAACTTCCCTGGGCAGCTTTTCCTCTGCGTGTCCAGTCCCAGTTGAGATGCTTAATCATCCTCTGATATTGCACATGCAAATCACCGACTTTTTAAAAGAACTGACTATTCGTAAAATGATCAACGATAACAGTGATCTGACATCCTTTCATGTCACACTGACAGATTTCAAATATTTATTAGTGAAACTATAAGAGAGGATAGATTTTCCTAATATTTTAAGCACGAGTTCCTCTGAACAGTTGGTATAACATCCATTAAAAAATAGAAAAGATTAACCTTTACCACGATCAAAGCTGCAGCTCACAATAAGAAGCGCGCACAGCTCTCTCGGCGTCTCTGGAAGAACCGCCAGGGGCTGGTCGTGCCCATCACGCGGCGGCAATGGAGGTGTCGTCCATCAGTCGACCCTGCGGCTTTAAAATGGGAAAATAAAACGGGTTTACAAAATAATAATGACAACAAAAGCTCTACTAATTGAAAAGATTTTGAAATTCTTGGAACTGTTTCACAAAAGCAGAGTAAATGTGTGCCAGCATCAAAATCAAATGTGTTCCTCTCCTTCCTGCACCCCGCCTCTTTCTGCACTTGAACCTGGGGGTGGCAACCCCACAGCCTAGGTGCTGTCCTGTTCCCTGCGACACCAGCTGATCCCGCACCCCCACCTGCTGAACCCAGGTCACTCAGGACTTCCCTCTTAACCTTGTGTTCCAGCAGCTACTGTCAATCTATCCCCGGCGCACGTGAAAGGGAACCTATCACCACTCCTGCTGAATGATCAAGTGTTTTCTCTCTTGCTCAGGTGTCTCCAGCCTTGAGCAGGCCACAAACCTGAGCTGAGAACACAAGTTCCTGGGACTCAAGGCCTCCAGTCTCCTGTTTGAGAAGAGGCAATTCAGAATGACGAAAGGCCTCAGGGACAGAGGCAGCAGACAAAGGCAAAACTTTCCCTTTCTCTAAGGTCACTGAGGGAAAACACTCAAAACATCACAGCAGAAGAGTAAAGGCTAAGAATGACTAAAAGCTCTCATAATTGTCCTTAGGGTAAAATTTCTGACAGGTCAGCAACACGCCAGAGAGCCATCGAGCAGCTAAAAAAGTTAAATTCTTGCAAATAATTTTATTTTATTATAGAGATATACATTAGCAGACCTCTGTGGAAAAAGCAAGAGAGAGACAGTGTTCAGGACATGAAACAGAACAGTGTTACACTTTACCACCAAAAGCCATTTGCCATGCGTTAGGCGTAAGGATTCCGGCAGGATTCCCTGGCAGTGAAGGGAGCTCCAGCTTTAGTGCTGTTGCTGTGTGGCTTTATGCATGCACGCGTGCGTGCATGTATGTAGCCATGCGTGCATGCCGGCATGCATATGTAAGTTAGGTCTCTGACATTCAAGGAAGGAATGGAATAAATGAAAGTTTTTTAAACTTGATGTAATTTTTTAGTACTGATGGAGAATGTTCTGTTTTAGAAACAGAATAACGGCTCAACCTGGTTGACTCCTTACCCCACAGAACCATACAAACAGGGCAGAAGACAAGTACATCAGGCAATTAGAAAACTGAGATCTGTTGTTCAAAGGAAGAAAATATTGATCCAACCTTGGTCTAGGGCAGCATGTCCAACAAAATCTATGTCAGTGCTGTCCAATACGGTAGCCACTAGTCACATGTAGCTGTTGAGCACCTGAAGGGCGGCTAGTGTGACTGCGTAACTAATCGTTAAATTAAGTTAGATTTTAATTTCAATCTCAATATGCACACGTGGCTAGTGGCGATCATACAGGAACAGCACAGCATCAGGGTGTAATAAAGGTGTGCTGGGATATAAAGTTTTAGTGAGTGATTGTTCACTAAGTAGGAAAAGGGTGAGCCTCATTCACTGTCCTTAGTGTGACAGGTAAACGATTTAAGTGTAAGTTTCCCCAACTGACAAAGGAGCTGGCTCTGAGGAATCCAGTCAACTTTTTGGGCAGTGTCAAGTTACTACAAAGTGGTAGCTGTATTCAGAGAAAAGATCAGGGCAGGTAGAAAAGGGCCTGTTAATTACGGTAAAACTTATGAATGTTTCTTTTTCTGGAACCTTTCTTCATGGATTTAAACACTACCCAGAAGAGGTTTGCTGTGAAGGAAAATCGGATACTGAACTAGCATGAGCTGAGATCAGGTTTGGGGGTACTGAGCCCCACAGGGAAAGGAATGAGAGAGAGTAATCGATGGCACGGAAATCCTGATTTCTCGACGATCGACTCTACATCTCAAACAAGCCACGTCTGCACAGCTAGACTGACCACGTCCGAACGCTGACCCACACTCTCACCCTGATCAAAGCCGCACCTCTGAGTTTAGGGCCAACTAACTTCAGGTCACACAGCTGGAAGGACATCACCCCCGCTCCCCACGCCGGTCAGGAGACTAAAATTCTGAGATTTTTCCTTTACAGTTTACAAGTATGGTGTACAGGAGCTTAGAAGAGTTAATAAAACGACTTTTTTGCAGATGCAAAAAAAGTTGTATAAGTCTGGAAAGATAAAAGCTAGGAAGATTGTGAAGAATATAGGGCCAGCCCCGTGGCCGAGTGGTTAAGTTCACGTGCTCCACTCCGGAGGCCCGGGTTTTGCTGGTTAGGATCCTAGGTGTGGACATGGCACCGCTCATCAGGCCATGCTGAGGTGGTGTCCCACACAGCACAAGCAGAAGGACCTACAGCTAGAGTGTACAAGTGTGTACTCGGGGGCTATGGGGAGAAGGAAAAAAAGAAGATTGGCAACGGATGTTGGCTCAGGTGCCAATCTTTTAAAAAGAAAGAAAGGAATACATTAACACAAACTAATGACAATTTACCAAATCCTACATTACATAAAAAAGGGTCAGTTCCCCAAAACTTGAATAAGACAGGCACAAAAAAGGAAACAGTAAGCAACGTAACTTGTCATTCCAAAAGGGGGTATAAATTTAAAATAAAAAGAGGGCACGTGGGGTTCACTTATATTCACGTATATCTGAGTTAGTGAGGGAAACCAGAACTCTCTGGAGGGACAGCCTTCATTTTAGGCATTGAGAGTGGCTTCCTCGGAGTGAGGCGCTGGACTAATGAACCACACGTGCGGCCTGGTTCACTCTCACACCACGACCGCCCTACACGCTCTGTTACTGCAAGAACCTGGAAACTGTATCACTGTGAAAAATCAAAACATCAAACCAGAGGATAGTTTCTGACAGATGATCATTTTCAGAAAAGACCCAGATCCAGCGTTACACAGTTAAGAGAATTAGGAGAGTTCAGGGATCATATTTAAAAAGTTAATCCATTTTGATTAAACACTAGTTACAAACTAACTACAATTTTAAAACATATTTTACTAAGTCAAAGATAAAACATGTTTAAGGCTACTATAAGGATAAAATCATTATTTACCTAAGGGAATAAAAATTTTTGTAATTAGATTCTATAAAATAATAGTAATTTTATAGAAATGAATAGCAGTGTTGCCAAATTCATATGATATAAGTAAAAACTATGACTGTTAGTCTCAAAATATTGTACACTGAAGTTTGCATGAACAAATGTCTTCTTTTGTTCATTTTCCAAACAGTGCATTTAAAGAGCAGAACACTGCTAAGCCTCACCTTTACAAAAATACTGGTGGGTATAAAGCGCCTGAGCAGCTGATTGGTGAAGTTAGGAAATCTCAGCAAGTTGATGTTGAGCGACGGCAGCTGCTGGTATCCAGCCATTAGCGGATAGAAATTATACAACATTTCCTGTTCTGTGCCAGGCAGAATACGTAATCGAATCTAAGTCATAAAGAGAAAGAAAGATCATCAAATTTACAGACTTGCCAAATCTATGTGTTGTTACCCCTAGATTATTTACAAATGCGCAAACACCCAAATCTTTCTCATGAAATATTCTCTCTCTCCTGTTCTGTCTTCCAGATAGATGCCAAAATGTAGGGCTGAATCAGTATGAGGCTAGGACCATCAGATAACAAACGTATAAAAAATATGTGCGTGATTTCTCAGTTTCTCAAAATGAGAACACCAGACAGAGGTGTCTTAGACTAGGCAGACTTGAGTCACAATACGTTACGGGATAATTTGTAGAAAAGTATCTTTGTAAACATTGTGTCAACATAAGAGAAACTAGTTGATGCTGGTGTTTTCTTTTGGGGATTTCACCTTTGTGGTAAGGCAAGTAACTTCAGGGGGAAAAAAAGGTGTTTGGAAAATTTTAACAAAACTTTAGAAAAGAACACAAACTGGTGAGATTTGGGTATCTTACATTATCTAATTATTTATAAGTCAATATGTGAAAAAGATCAAGACACACAAGAAAAGCATACTCATTTGCAAATGAGTACATACAGGTATGATGCGTCAAAGATAATCTACGCGTGTGCGTACCAACACAGCATAGCTAATATTGAACTTAATATAAATTCTAAATTTAAATTAGTGTCTGCACTTACAGTATACTTCATATATAATTCTGTTTTGCATTTGACAACACAGCACTCAGAATATGCACAGCACAGATGACTAGCCAGGGCAGATACTTCTAAGTGTTACGACATGCCTGTTCCTCTAAGTGTCCTTGCTAATAAGTTATTTACTGACTACTGAGGCCGTCTCTGTTATCACTTCAACGGTGGAGGACAGTGTTCTCACTGAAACGTGGTTGTGCCTGAGAGCATATGCTCCCCTCAAAAATCTGATGAACTTTTCCACCTCTGATTTGAATGGATGAATCAAAATACCTGAATAATTTATTTTCATGTGTAGATACAAAATTGCATCTAAACGTACCAAAGATAAGTAAATTGTATACACGATCAAGATCTCTAAAAGATTTCTCTGAGAGTTCAGAAGAGAGTTAGGCTCTTAATATGGGTCGTCACGCCTCCAGGCCTCAAAAGACACACACAAATAAACTCATTAGTAACAAAAGAGAAACCTAAAATTTTCAGGAATTCTCTTATAGGCCAAGGACTTGTGAACTCTTGTTTTATAAGGAGAAAGAACCTATACGTGTGCCTCGATGTGAAAACGGTTGCCCATTTAATCCACCTCTATAGCAAATGGTACTTAATCTTTAAAAGTGACTAAAAATTCACTACTATCAAAATAATAGGGTTCACCAAAATAATAGGGATCAGTTCATTTGTAAAAACTAAAAGGACAGCTCTCCATTTCCTGGCCACACTTCTGCGTCTCCACGAGCAACCGAACGAGCTATGCCCTTACCTGTTTAAGGCCTGAGAACATGAAGGCATCGCTGGGCTCCACAGAAACCTCCACATCTTGCACTAAGTTAGTCTTATTCTGCAGGTGATACCTCACAGGTAATGATTCTCTGACACGCCCAAACGACGGCAGATCTGCAGAGAAAGATGACATTTCTCTTGGTTAAAAAAATACCTCACCATTCATGGGTTCGTTTCGTAAATGAATCTCATTCAATAGACATGGGGTTATTTAAATTAATACTACTACTGCACTCTTGCCAAATAAGAAAATCCTTTGACTGGACAACAGCCATGGGACTACGATGAAACAGGCTAAGAAGAATCAAAATCTCCTTCTGGAATGGATTGACTTAGAAAAGGTCTTAGCTATCAGGAGCTGAATTATATTTTAAGAACAATTTTAAAAATCTACAAAAGATTTCCCTACATATCACTGATGGTTAAAGAAGGAATGACGGACATTATGTGCCTCTTGATGGGAGGACACAGCATTAACTATGAAGCATTCTTGCCAAAAACTTGAACCTGAATCTGATCAAGCCTCACTACCAATTTATAGGGACAGAGAAACACTTAACACTGATACAATGCAAGGAGCAAAATCCAGATGCAGGAGGCTCTACGGCACTAATGACTCACTCTCTTCAACAAATAAACAGCAAGGAAGATAGGGGGAGCGGGCGGTGGTGGAGGAGGTGATGGGAGGGTGGCAGTGGAGCGGGGACATAGGGAGTCTGGCTGCCTATAGATTTCACAAGTATGAGACATCCATCGACTGCAGTGTAGACCTTAAAACAAACTAAAGAACATTCAGAGTCAACTAGGGAAATTTCAACACTGGAATTTGACAATACTAAGAAATTATTACTAATTTTTTAAGTCTTGATAACAGTATTGTGATTATGTTTAGAAAAATAACCACTAATATTAAAGATGCATACTCCAATATTTACAGACGAAATACTATCTGGTATTTGGTTCCAAATAATAGGGGTAGGAGGAAGTGTGTGGAGGTAGAGATGACACAAAACTGATCATAATCTACTTTTGTAAATGTTGGGCATTTTTCATAATAAAAATTTTTTTGTAAATCTTAGAAGCTAAAATAAATATCCTTACTGGATTCTTTTAATTAAGTAAAATCTGAATGGTGGTACCTGCGTTCACATGCAGAGGGATATTTTCTACAATCACATGTGGCAGAGTGATGACAGTACTGATGACAGGGATGTTTTCCGTGGCTGAAGTCCTATGGCAGAAAAGGGCATCTTTTAAATTCACATTTTATGTGAGAAGTTAATAAATTAAAAACAGGGAACATGCAAATGCACCAACTAGTTTCAAAGGAAATACAAATTATTTATCCATCTTCTAAAACTTGATTAATAGAAGTAGTTTTGTGAAGAGCTTTTAGAATCCCACTTTTGTTTTGAATATTTCTAAGTAACAAGCGGTTATAATCCCAGGCTGCTGGCTGGTCCCAGTGAAGTGAGGAACTGTGCCAGAACGCAGATCAACTCAATGTAAGTGGTAGTGTGGTGATTCCTATTATGACACAAACACCTTGTCACACTGAGGACAGTCCCCAGATGAGCACCAGACCACTTCCAAGTGCACTGTTATAACTACACTCAAGTACACAGTAGACGCTGAAGAACTAAAAATATCTTACTGTCCACAAACGTAGTGGCATTGCTGCATCCCTGAGCTGAAGTGAGCAAGCTTATGGAACTGGCACATGTGTTTCCCTCTATTACAGTCAGGGTAGGGACTACAGGGTCCACAGAGTCAGCTGACCGCCAAGGAAAGCCCTGAGGAAGAGTCTGCCTCTAGAGGTGGAACAGCTGACACCACGTTCAAACTACTACAGAGCAAAAGTACAGGCAAAAGCATCTGACTCCTCTCGTTAAGAAATGTCTTTACAGTATTACAGTCACGTGACGGAAAAATTAAGCAGGGCCTTCAAAACGCTGTTTTCATGCCTATAAACTAAACATGATTATGGTAAATCCAGAAATGGGGAAAATAAAGACAAGTTAGTTTTTTAAAAATACAATTACATACTTCTCCTTTCTCATTTTAATCTTATTCACTGTTTTAAAATTTATGAAATTGAGCCATATCAAGAAAATAACATATGAAGTATCATGCACCTACCTCCCAGCCTTAAAAATCATAAAATAGCTGAATCTTCTCATGTACCCTACCCCTTCCTGCTTGCATCTCCCTCCACTCCCCTCTAGAAGTAACTACTCTCCTGACTTTGGTATCCATCATTCCTATGTATTTCTTTACACCTTTCCAAATTATCTATGTAGCCCTAAGAAACACACGGTATGTTTTACATATTTTCCAATATTACACACATGCAATTTGTTCATATTGTGAACATCTGTAGTTGTTTTGTTCACTTAATATTAAGAGGTTGATAAGTGCAGCTCTGGTTCATTCATTTTCACTGATATATAGTATTCCATTGTAGGAATGCATCACGATTGATCATTTTCCTGTTGGTGGACAGCTAGTTTGCTTCTAACTCTTTACTATTAGAATCAGTGCTGCTATGAAGATTCCTATACGTGGATCCTTGGTGACACGTTTGAGACCTTTTCTAGGACTGAAAGGGATAGACATCTTCAACTGTACCTGGTACTGCTGAACGGATTTCCAAATCAATTGTTCTAATTTATACTCCACCTCTTGAAAAACTTTGCATTGTGAAACCTTTGTATTTTTCCAAACTAGTGGGAGTACGTCTGAATCTCAGATTACTAGTAAGGTTGACCTTCTCTCCCTATGTTTACTGGCCAGCTGGCTGCTTCTGTTCCACTCACACTGCCTACTCAGGCATTTTGTTCAACTTTCTGTTAGCAGACTTGTGTTTTTCTTATGATCTGTAAAAGTTCTCGATATGAATTTTAATCTTTCGTCAGTTTTACATGTTGCAAACAGCTTTTCCCAGTTTGCATCATCTTTTCACTTTCTTTATGGTGTTTTTTATGAACTAGAAACTTGATTTTAAGAAATCAAATTCATCGATTTTAGTAGCTAATACGTTTTGTGTCTTATTTAAAGAAATTCTTCCCTACTCCAAAGTTATAAAGTGATTCTCTTATTTTTCTACTAAAGGTAATAAATATTTGCTTTTTAAAATTAGAACTTTAATATACCTGGGATCAATTTTTATATAGAGTGTAAGGTAGAGATCCAATTTTTTCCCAAAAGGATACCCAATTGTTCACCATCACTTATAAAACAATGGTTTTATACGATTATAAACATCTACAATGCTACCTCTGTAAAATATAATTTCCCTGTGTTGGGACCTACGGATCTATTTCCAGACGCTCCTCTGTTCCACTGGCTCATTTACACAAGCCGAGCCAATACCATAGTGACGGCTACTGTAGCTTCACAGTAGGGCTTGGAATGTAGAAGAGCAAGAACGCTCGCCCAGTTCTTCTTCTGGAGTATCTTGACGATTTCTGACTGTTTGCTTTTCCATATAAATTTTAGAATCAAGAGTGTCAAGTTCCACAAAAACAAAACAAAACAAGCTGTTGAGACTTTGAAGGAAATGGCCCTGAATTGATAGAACAATTTATAATATTACATCTTATCCAAATCCTACCCAAGACCATTTTGTCTCTCTCCCATTTATTTAGGTCTTCCTTTAATATTTAAAGTCTCAGAACTTTCTACAGAAAGGTAAGGTGGTACTTCTGTTAGATATATTCCTATGCTTCTTATAATTTTTGTTATTATGCAAATGATACCTATTTTATCATTTATATCTATTTTAAAAGTACACTGCCTACAGGTTTATTACTGATATGTAGAAATCCAATTACTTTTGTATAATGATGTTATATCCAGCAACCTTGTTGAAATTCTTGAAATCCTAATAATTTGTTGATTCCCTTGGGTTTTCTATGCAGACAATATTATTGACTACAAATAAGGGTAGTTTCTCCTAATGTTTTTATTTTTATTTTTTTTTAAAGATTTTATTTTTTCCTTTTTCTCCCCAAAGCCCCCTGGTACATAGTTGTATATTCTTCGTTGTGTGTCCTTCTAGTTGTGGCATGTGGGACGCTGCCGCAGCGTGGTTTGATGAGCAGTGCCATGTCCGCGCCCAGGACTCGAACCAACGAAACATGGGCTGCCTGCAGCGGAGCGCGCGAACTTAACCACTCGGCCACGGGGCCAGCCCTTCTCCTAATGTTTTTAATGGTTCTATCATCAGAATTAGTTTGTCTAAAATTTCATCAGCATAAAGGTCACAAATTGTGACAAACACAAAGGAAAGTTTAATTATCCTTTCTAATCTTTGTCTTTTGACAAATGGTCAGTGATAGCCTGTGACTTCTAGTCTGCTCTCTAGGTCTGACAGAAGCTCTCAACTATTAAATGACAATGAAATAATAAAGGCATCAGAATAGCACAATTAATGAAAAAAAGATAGGCTGATATAATTTTACCTCTTCCAGGAGATAATATAATGCCCAGTTGCTACTCCACCTTCAACATTTCCAACAGATGGGCACCGAAGACAAAAGCATTCACTAGCGCTCTCTCCAGTCTGTAAGACAACTACAAGACAAGAAAGAGTCTTTATATCCTTATGCGAGGATTTCATCTATGAAACAGAGTTTTACCTCCAAGTAATATAACAGAAAAAGAACACCTTATCCATTATACATTATTTATAGAGACTTGGAAAGTAAGACTCAGAGACGTTAAATGACATTTTCAAGGTCACAAAGTCCCTATCCAGTGTTTTTCTAATCTATCAATATTCCATTATAATAAAATAATAAAAACAGTGAGGCATCAGTATGTCTGTGACAGGTCCCTATAGGAACTAAGGAAAGGGAGCAGTCTGGAGTCAGAATAATACCCTGTGGTGATTATTTTTCTTTCTCCAAATTATTTCATATCTCTAAAGGAAACATTTCATGGTAGGGAAAAAGAAAAGAGAAAATTTTAGCTACCTGTTAAGGTACTCAAAATGTCATTCCAGAAAACTAGGCTTTCTCTGAATAAACGCAAATTACTGATCCCACTGAAACAGAATACACCACCTACGGCCTCATTATTGCCTAATGTGGCTACTTACCTCCTGTGCAAGGGTGCTTTGCTCTTGCCAACTTCACAGTAAACTCCTGATGACATGACAGATGCTCATTTAACCAAGCCTCCCCTACCTTCAGCACTGAGGACCTGCAGTGTCACTCCTTTAAATGCAAGCTGGCAACAGCACCTATCTAAAGCCAATTTTAACAAACCTAAGAGTGAAACTTTCAAATAACAACAACAAAGTCCTGAACCATTAAGTAATTGTTTTCACGGTTTTCCATGAAGAAGGTTGTGATAAATTAATGGTTATGATTGTGAGTAGATATCAGAAGCAAAAGGGAAAAAAGCTGGGTTAATCTTTAATTAATACTTTTAAGTAATTTTTAAGGACTAGGAAATGATATTGTAGCCCAGGAAGTACAACACACATCAACTCAAACCTCTTAAGATAGCTTTGTTAATACCTGGGACATTCACATTAAATTCCCCGTGAAGTCTGCCCTATTTCTAAGAAGTTAACCAAAATGATCACAGTGTTTATTAACAACTAATTAATGTCATTAACAATTAACAGTAGGGTCAAATTTATGACCTAGGAAAGTTGTTATTTTTACTGTGTCAAACACAAATTTTATAATGCCTCAGTGCTGGTGTTCTTGGAGGTGGCAGACAGAATAATGTTGCCTCCCCCACCAAGATATCCACATCCTAATTTCCAGAAAAGCTGTGTATGTTACCTTACAGGGCAAAAAGGACTTTACAGATGTGACTAAGACAAGGGTCTTCAAATAAGATTGTACTGGATTATCCAGTTGGGCCCAATCTAATGACAAAGGTTATAAGGGAAAGAGAGAGGCAGGAGGGAGTCTGAGAAGATGTGACAACGGAAGCAGAGGTCAGAGAAAGAGACATTTGAAGATGCTATACTGCTGGTTTTGAAGATGGAGGAAGGAGCCATGAGCCAAGGAATCCAAGAGGCCTCTAGAAGTTGGAAAAGGCAAAGTAATGGATTTTCTCTAGAGCTTAGAAAGAATGCAGCCCTGCAAACACCTTGATTTTAGGACTTTTGACCTCCAGGACTTTCAGATAATAAATCTGTATTGTTTTAAGCCACTAACTTTGTGGTAATTTGTTACAGCAGCAATAGGAAACTAGTAATGGGAGATTCAACAGACACTATACACTAAACACTTACTACCCAGCTACTATGTGGCTGGCAATACAAAGATAAGGAAGTCACAGCGCCAGCTCTAAAGGAGCACAAGTTTGGCAGGGGAGCCACATCTATAAATGAGTAATTACAACACAATGGGGTAAGTGTTACAATAGAAGGATGCAGGATGTACAAGGGACCATGGCAGTCAAGAAGCAAGAGTAACCCTTCGTCTTGCTAGGAGGATCAGAAAGCCAAAGCTTACCTGAGCCCTAAGGAGTAAACAAGAGGTCAACAGGTTGAAGAGAAGAAGGAGAGGGTTTTGGACACAAGTAATAATATGTTCAAAACAGATGTGGGCAATGTTTGCTGAATGTGGAAAATCTGGTTTGGTTGAAGTCTGGGACACAGCAAAGGGAAGTAGAGAGGCTGGTAGAGAGGCTGGTGTGGAAGAAGCTGGAAAGGTAAGCTGAGCCTGACTGGGAAGGGTCTGTAATGTCCTGGAAGTTTTTTAAGTAGGAACAACAAGTTTGGAATAGTTTTTTGAGGAATCAAACTCTGGCAGCAGTGTGAAAGGCAGACTAGGGGAGAGAATGGTAAGCAGGAGACCAGTAAAGAGGCTGCTTCTAAAGGCCGGGTGAGAAATGGTGAGGACGGCAGTGAGCACAGAGATGAGAAGCTGGATTCAAGAGATGTGGAGGAGGGAGAAGTTGGTGCTGGGCGGATGTGGGTGTACAGAAGGAGTCTAGTTGCTGTCTGTGTGTGTAAAGAAGATTTGCCCTGAACTAACATCCGTTGCCAATCCTTTTTTTTTCTTGAAGATTAGCCCTGAGCTAACATCTGTGCCCATCTTCCTCTACCTTGTATGTGGGGTGCCTCCACAGCATGGCTGATGAGTGGAGTAGGTCTGCGCCCGGGATCCAAACCCACAGACCCAGGGCTGCTGAAGTGGAGCATGCAGAACTTGAACCACTCGGCCATGGGGCCTGCCCGAAGGAGTCTAGTTTTCCCCGTGGTTTCTAGCTTGGATTAAGCGTACAGTGACTCCTCTAACTCGACGAGCGAATGCAGGCAGCCTAAGGTTGCATGGCAGTGGAAATCTTGTAGAAAAAGGAGACCAAAGTCAGGATCTTCGAAAGGACCAACATTTAAGGGGTAAGAAAAGGAATCAGTGAAGAATGGACAAATACCCAGCTTGTACTGAGCTGTTAGGGGAAAAGCACTGGGCTAAGGTATTTCATGTACATTATCTTCTTTAACCCTGAGAAGTGATAAAATGAACCGTCCAACATAACGAAAGAGCAAGAGGCAGGAATGAGCATTGAATCTAGTTCAGTCTGACTCTAAAGCTCACGATTATTCCACGTGAGCACAGTGAGGAGAAAAGGAAGGAGAGGACAGAGGAACAAAGCAGAACCAGAGACGGTGATTTCCAAACCACAAGAGAAAAGCACGTTTCCAGAGAGAGAAAAACAAAGCTTATGAGGGCATTCTGAAAGCAAACTACGTTTTTTATTATTATTACTTTACAGAATGTGGTACATATTTTTAGCACTTAAATAGAGATGTTTAAGGACATACGTGATTTTTATCTATTAATCTTATGTGAAGATTTGATGCCAAGATCTTGGGCAAAAACTCTATTATTCCAAAGGAAAATGGTACCTCCTTTATGAGTTTTCTAAAATGCACAGAAGTGAACATGGAGACTGCCTGTTCTTTTTGGTGTCTTCTTGAGAGCCTTGCATGGTGCTTACAGGGAAGCACTCAATAAACATCTATTGATTATTTATCGATAGATATTGAAACTTACCTACAGGCCAGATGCAAAAATATGTTGGACTTCTGGTAGCTACTCATCTAATTTTAATCTGTATTGCAAATCAACTATGACTTGTGACACTGCAGTCAAGTAGTAGATAAAGAGAGCAAATAAAACAACTCATTTATATTTGGTTTTAAGACTATATCATGATTTTTTTTCTCACAATATTCACCCTTATAATATAGTTGAGGACAATTTTGCTTGCGTTAACATTCAAAGTAATTTTTATTCCCTCTAACAGCTCCAGAAGCACACAAGCCCAAAAGACATGGAACCAGAAAGGTAACATCCTGGGTTTGAATCTCTTCTAGAAACAGTTTCAGCTGGATGATTTACAAAACTTATCATCTACTTTTCTATTTTTTCCGAAGTTTCTTTAATAAACATCATTTCCCAGTTCAAATTATAGACAATAGTAAACCTTAATTAAAAATTAATAAGAAAAAACAATCTATAAAAAATCCAAATATAAAAAATACTATTTTATTTTCAAGTACATTTTTCACAGAGCAACTTCCTGATAATAGCAAAAATCTGATCTTTTGAAATAAGATCTAACCTACTCGGGTAAATCGTAAATGATGTTCAGTCTATCTTAATTCTAAACGTGTTTTCTTTTGTGAGCATAAGTCGCAAGTTCCCTCCCTTAGCAAAAAGCTCTTACACTGCTAGCCTCACACACACACACACACACACACACACACACGCACGCACGCACGCCCAGAAGGGACTTCTGCTAATTAAGCAGGATGATGCGCATTCTCACCTTTGTCCAGCTGGGACTCCAGCTGGTCCACCGCGGTCATAGAAGGAGCAAGCTGCAGCTCACTGGACACAATAGTGAGCGCCCAGGGAGAGGCACTTAAAAGGTCCGTCATCAGCAGAAAGGGGATGTCAGCATAGACCCTTTCCAGGTGCTCAAACTGTCACAAATGAAGACAGAAGGTCGTCAAGAGCTGCATCAACCCATTTTATTTTTTCTGTTAATTTCTACACCTAAGTGATTTCCAACATGCTTCACAGGGACATACCTTTGTCGAAACAAATTTAACTGCAACGTCAAATGGAAAGACGGTTTCTATTGTTACAGTTTCATCCTGCAAGAGAATTTAAAGGATACTTTCAATGGCATTTATAAATCTTAACCATAGGTGAAGTTTTAGAAACAGAAGGCATATAAAGCACAACCTTTTACTGACCAATAAATAATTGCAGTTTATATATCAGGAAGCTAGGGTCTTTCCCCTGCATAATATCTGTAAAAGTCCACGTAGAGAGACTAGACTACTATTTCTAGTAAATTATCTTAGGGTTTTATAACAGTTCCCACTGCAAAGTGCTTTCTTATACATTATTTATCTCAGGATCTAGCGAAAGTGGGCAGGGCAGGCACTGTCAGCATTTTACAGAAGAGGAACTAGAAGTTAAGGAAGGGGAAGCGATTGGCCTTCAGCCACAAAGCTAGTGGTGTCAAACCTAGCATCTGGGCCTTCTTTTTGTCCAAGTTCTTTACCTCAGTTTGACTCGATGACTAAAATAACAGTAATAGTAATGATGATAATAATGGAATGCGACACAGTGTTACAATCACTATACATGTATCCTGTGATGCTCATAAGAACTCAAGGAAACAGATGCTACTATTACTGCCATTTTAAGATGAGTGGTGACATAGCTAGTAAGTGACAAGGGTAGAAACTGGACCGAGTCTCACCCTGGAGCCTGTACTCTTAATTCACATGCTACATCTCCTCTCCAAAACAATGGGACTCAAAAACAACGGGGCTATTATATCTTTGGAAACAACAAGCCACCTTATTGGTAAGAAACTTTTAAAAAATGTCACATTGGTTAAAAACTCAGGTTGTAATACCAGATAGATCTGGATTTTAGTCCTGGCAGGATACATACTTACTAGCTGTGTAGACCCTGGACATAGTGAAGTGACCTCGGGAAAGTTATATTTTCTGTGCTATGGTAATTAAATGAGATAATGTACACAAAGCACTTAGTGAAATGCCTAAATAATGTTTATTATATGTTTCAAATTATTTCCTTCCTCAAGATCATTAAACTCACTTTTAAACAAAGTTTAATAGGTAGGATACACAACATTCTTACTCATTTTAGCAGTTGGAAAAAAGCGTGCCATAGCTCCAGGGGTCTAAAGCCTAGGGCCTCAACATTTCCCAGAGAAAAGATCAACGAAAGGAAGAAGCAACTGAGTGATTCATTCAGATGTGGCCTATTTTTTTTTTTTTTATTGAGTTATTGATAGGTTACAATCTTGTGAAATTTCAATTGTACAATAATGTTTGTCAGTCATGCTGTAGTTGCACCACTTCACCCTTTGTGCCCACCCCCCACCCCACCTTTCCCCTGGTATCCACTAAACTGTTCTTGGTCCATAGTTTTAAATTCCTCATATGAGTGGAGTCATACACAGATTATCTTTCTCTCGCTGGCTTATTTCACTTAACATAATTCTCTCAAGGTCTATCCATGTTATTGCAAATGGAATGATTTTTTTCTGTTTTGCAGCTGAGTAGTATTCCATTGTATATATGTACCACATCTTCTTTATCCATTCGTCTGTTGATGGGCACTTAGGTTGCTTCCACGTCTTGGCTATTGTGAACAGTGCTGCAATAAACATTGGGGTGCACAGGACTTTTGGGATTGCTGACTTCAGGCTCTTTGGATAAATACCCAGTAGTGGGATGGCTAGATCGTATGGTAGTTCTATTTTTAGTTTTTTGAGGAATCTCCATACTGTTTTCCATAGTGGCTGCACCAGTTTGCACTCCCACCAGCAGTGTATGAGGGTTCCTTTTTCTCCACAACCTCTCCAACATTTGCTGCTATTAGTTTTAGATATTTTTGTCATTCTAACGGGTGTAAGGTGATATCTTAGTGTAGTTTTGATTTGCATTTCCCTGATGATCAGCGATGATGAGCATCTTTTCATGTGCCTATTGGCCATCAGTATATCTTCTTTGGAGAAATGTCTGTTCATGTCTCCAGCCCATTTTTTGACTGGGTTGTTTGATGTTTTGTGGTTGAGTTGCGAGAGTTCTTTATATATTAAGGATATTAAGCCTTTGTCAGATATATGATTTGCAAATTTTTTTCCCAGTTAGTGGGTTGTTTTTTTGTTTCAATCCTGTTTTCATTTGCCTTGAACAAGCTCTTTAATCTGATGAAGTCCCATTTGTTTATTCTTTCTATTGTTTCCCTTCTCTGAGAAGGCATGGTGTCCGAAAAGATCCTTTTAATACTGATGTCAAAGAGTGTACTGCCTACGTTTTCTTCCAGAAGCCTTATGGTTTCAGGTCTCAGATGTGGCCTACTTTTAATCTCTACATGGCCTACACAGCAGACTCACATATAAGTAAAAATGAGACTTAATCAGTGAAGGAAAAAGAATTTACGTTTAAATTTCAAAAAGCGTCTTCCAAATAAGACTAGGACCTATAAGACTTCTATGAGAAAGGTGCTTCTTGGTAAAATAACTTTGAAAGACAATCACTATAGCCTTTTGCAAAGATTCTCAATACACATTAGAAAATTAAGTGCTGTGCTAAGTCCTGAAGTAACAAGAGCTGTTTAACACCTTTTTCCCCAGTATTTTCCAGACATATGTGCCCGATCAATTCTTTTTTGTGTAACATCTATTTCAATCCTTCAGAATGAGTGTCCCGTAAAAGCACGTCTTGGGGATGGACTGGCTGATAGAAAAATAAATAGATCCTTCTCTAAAAAAGTGGCACGTACCTCAATGATGTCATGTCTTGAAGAGAAGAGAACCCTGCTTCAAGACACAGCAGCACACTGTTTTCGCTTGATTCCAGGTCAGCTACCAGGTAGTAAACTATTATTTCAAAGAGGGACATTCTAAGTCTACCGTAAACTTCCATCACCAGGAGAAATGACATCCAAGGCTTAGGACTCTAAAGCTGCCCAGAACTTTAAAGTTCTTATTTGTACGTGAGGAAATTGAGGCCACAATAAGTTACATGGCCAGTCACAAGTTAGGAGGTAGCGCTGGGGCTGGCACCCTTTCCTCCCAACTCACCATCTAGGGTTCTTGTCATCACATCAGGCTAGGTGAGATCAGATTACGTGCCTTCCTCCCTCCCACTCGGGAAAGACTTGTAACTCTTAGGATGCTTTTGCCTCTAGTGACTTATAGATAGCCCACGGCCCAGACTCTGTGCAGTAACCAAACCACAAATCCCCAGACCGCTGGACCTTCTCTGCTGGGCTGAGGACCCAGTTCCTAAGAAAAGGCTGAGACAGCCCTGCTGCCAGGACCAAGAAGATACTAAATATCATAACATTCCATCAATAAAAGCGGATAAAGCACAGTATGGTTAAATCTATATAAAAACATGCCCCCCATCTCTATAAATAGAAGAGACCAAGAAGAAATACATCAGTGACCGCAGGTGCCTCTGAGCTGTCAGGTGATACGGCAGCTCTCCTGTTTTCGCTCTCTGCCATGTGCCCTTACCAAAAATGATTTTCGTTTTTGAATAGAAAAAAATATTTCATAAAGGGAGATCTCCCTTCCTCTAATACCTTCTGCAAATAAGCCAACTTACAGATTTTATCTAATGTGTCATTTTACAAACATTTAGAGGCACAAGACTTTTTTGTATGAGATCTCAAATCTGTTGATTCTCTATATGAAAAGCTATGTAGGCCAACTTTCTAATGTTTGAGCAATGAATGCCATATCATCTCGTTTATAGTAAATAAAAATGACTAAAAAATCAACCAATATGTAATTAAAATTTGTAATAGACTATAAGCACCTAAGCTGCTTATTTTATAGGGAAACTAAAATAATACAAAATAGGGAATACTCCACATAGGATGCTTCCTGAAGTAGCTATGAAAAAGATACCTTGTGACACTTGCAAACAATTTCCTTTTCTTCAATAGTTGTATTGATCAGGTAAGAGACATACACGAGAAACATTCTCGAACCCACTGTTCCACAGCGAACATATAGCATTTTTTCCAGCTGTAACAAAATAAAAGTATTTTAATTTAATTAATACTATGGAGATTTCCTCCTGATATACATTCTAGGATAATGTCTCCACCTTTTAAAGTTTACTGTACCAGTTGGCTAAATTCTTGGGACGCTTTTTACAGGCTGTTCCTGCCACAGCTAAGAGTGGGATTACTACTACTCCATCTTTTCTTATCATTCTCGACTTCCCGAGGATTCCTGGTGTTTGGTTCAGAAATAAAAGTAGACTGAAAGGTTATTTCAGAAAGTTACAAACTTAGTGCTATTTAGTTATTTTCCCAGGCAACTAATTCTCCACATTAAAGTTATTTGTTCTAAAACCCCTTGTGTAACAACTGCTTAAGACATTTTACATATTAAAATACGTAACGTGTATAAAATGTGCAATAAATAGTTAAATGACTTTTTTAGTCTCAGGATATGCTATTAAAATGCTCTAAAACTGTGTAAAACTCGCTACATATTTAAAACTACATGTGAAATTGATTTCCTCTCAGTCAGAGTTGGCCAAGTTCACCTGCTCCCCTGGGCGTAGGTCTCCGACAGGAATGTCAGTGAGTAAAGCTGGGTAGGACTCATCGCACAGTTCTGTTCCACGGAGGGTCACCTGAGTCTTCTGAGTTAAATTGGCATCCTGGCCTAAAAGTGTTCACATTGGCGTTTTAAGATATAGAGAATTCAAACATTATCCTAACAATTAATACTGCATAAAGAGCACTATATCATAACCGGCTATTAAGCAAACTTCCCATAGTTGACACCGCTGAAGCTTGTTTCATGTTGCTTAACACTGATCAAACCTTAAAGAGGAATGTTTACCGGGTTTTAAACCAGCGGTGAGCTTCACATCTCTGATTTCGGTCTTTTCGTGGGACTGAACAGTCACAACCAAACAATACATTTCATTAGTCAGGGCGGGAGGGTCGTGCCGCAGATGGACAGAAATGTTTGGAACTCTGGAAATGATCCTTTGGAAAAAAAAAACCTCAGCTAAGTCACTGACCTTTTTTAAAAAACAAATTATTCGAACAAAGTCTTTAAAAGAAGTAAGAAGACCCTTCACAAGCTGCCCGGCAGGGCCACTTACATCGTGCTGGCCTGAATGACTATGCTGTCCCAGTGCAGCTCGCTGGCCGGCAGCTTCGGCCGTCTTTTGAAAGACCGCGAGGCCTGCAAGGCTTCTTGGGGGGAGGCAGCGTCTCCCCCTCCTCCCTGCCAGTTTAAAACCACGCATCTTCCCGTCTCACTGCCCAGAACCAGATCCACGGAAGTAATCTGAAAGAGGGACGTCTGTCAGAAAGGCCACCTCATACTTGTTCGTCACCATCCCCTCGACAAATTCCACCACAGACTGCTGGTCTACGGAGTTCATCGAGGGGCCGTGGTGTGACAGAAGTCCGAACACCCGCTGTTAGTCTTAGCCTGACCATCGATGAGCTGTGACATTGGCCAATAATAAGCTGGGTTTCTACTTTGCCTTTAAACAGAGATAACAACCTGACTTTCTAGCTAAGATGCTGACTGCGCAGCACTGCTATGATTTTAGCACCTGGCACAGTGCCCGACGTAACACATGTCCAATTAGTGGTTGCTGAGTGAAATAAATGAATGTTTTGATAACTGTTAACATACTCATAACCTAATTCCTAATTCCACCATATTTTTCCTGAAGACATCTATAGCATTAGGAATGAAAATCTCTGCTAATTGAATAAATGTTCCTTTCATGTAAATCCATTAACAAATGTACCCAAAATAACATTATTAATTATGATTTACATCTGGTAGGCTTCCTTAGGTACCTTGTAAAAAGTAAAACAGGTAGTTAAGGATTTAGTCAAAATCATGAAAAATTTTTAAAAAATGAATACACAAAAACTCTAGCTATTGCTTAATAATAAAATCAACAGATTCACAGAAATTGCTACTGGAATATTGGTAGTATAGTCTTCTGTTTCTATCTTAGAAATAGTCCAAAGTTTAGATCAGCCAATGTTCCCATTCAAGCCATGGAAAACAAGCACTTAAGGAGTTCTTACTACGTACCAATCACTATTCCAGGCAATCTACACTAACTAAATGATTTAATCCTCATGAAACATTAAGACATAGGTACTATGATTATTCCCATTTTCCAGATGAATAAACTGAGACACAAAGAGGTCAACTAACTGCCCAGGACCACAAGCTAATAAGCTTAAGAGTTGGAATTTAAACCCACGTAATCTGGCTCCAGAGTTTATCATCAATAAAAATATTACTTTCATCATATATTTTTGAAAGGCATTTTAATCATCTATATCAAATGAATCCTTTAAAATATATATCTTCATTTTTTTTCTTTAAAAATATGCAATCAGCAATGTTTAACCATCAAAATGACACACATCTTTAGTCTGACTTACGTCATATTACACAAAACATAATTGCTACATCATATAATATATATGTTTTGTTTAAAATCCCTTAACTGATCATGTGGCTATTAAAAAATGAGGTTGGTCTTATATACTAGCAGGAAATGATGTCTGATATACTCTATTAAGTGAAAAAAGCCAACTACTAAATACTATGTATGGTATATTCTCAAGGAAAGGAAACCTACCAAACTACTATGAATGATTTCTCTTGGGAAGTCCAAGGGAAAGATTTTAATTTTTTACTTAATACACTTCTGATTATCTGAAATTTTTTCTGACATATGTATATATTATGTTATCATTTAAAACATTTTTTAAACAAATTTCATAACTAACCTCAATTTTCTTTCCCACATCTTCAGTTTTTGCAACAAATTTAAATAAAAACTTCCTTGTTTTACCAGGAACTAAGCACATCTTTCCCTGAGTCAAATTTTCTAAAACTTCACTCGCTTTGGAAGCTTCTTCGATGACACAAAACTGGTTATATTCCTGAAAAAGAGGTCAGCAAAGGCCACAGTTTATAAGCTACGACATTTGATGTCGAAGGGTTATTAACAAAAAGAAGTATTTTATGCCAAATGGAGGCACTTATACTGCCACAAGATAAAGATAATTCACTACACACAAGCTGATTTCTGAAGACATGCAGACATCCCTTTCCTGGAGAGAGAAACAAAGATTCATTCTTTGTTGCACTGGACACTACTGTGTCTCATCTCCTTTTCTTAAAAAGCCTTCTTTACTTGGCTCCTGTGACACTGTAAGATCTCCTGTTTCTCCTCCTCCTCCGTTGCTTCCTAGTTTTCCCTCAACGGTCTTTTTTCCTTCTTCTTGTCCCCTTAATTCAGAGGGTCTACAAGTTTCACTCCTTGGCTTTCAGTCCTTTTCTCTTCATGTTCACTTATTTGCAAAGTTTATCCATTTCTATATATTCTGCACCTCTGGGCTAATATTTTCCACGTAAGAACTTTTCATTCTGTCCTATTTCCCTAACTAAAAGCTCATATCCACAAGTGTCTAGAGGATAATGCCACTACCACTTCAAGTTCAGCAAGTCCCAAAGCGGAGGTATATCTACCCTCCCAGAGAGCACACTCCTTCCAGATGACTAAACGGAGACAGCTTTCACGTAAATATCTATGAAATCACCATTCTCATCCATTCAACAAATATGAAGAACTTTCCAAGAGCCATATTCTATGCCAGCAGATGAATTATCTTCACAGAAAATTCTGATATAGTTAAGTTTTATACTTTCCCTCTAATTTTCATTTCTATTCCATGCTTATGAAACCTAAGTACTCACTATTTTTCTTGTGCTCTGTGTCGAATTTCAAATAACACATATTCAGAATATAATCTAACTTTAAAAACTAATTGCTCCACATTTTAGCATTTTTATTAGTATTTAATCATAGAAGTAGTCTATGCTGGTCAAAAAAAAAAAAGAAAGAGAAAGAAATGGAATAGTAGGATATAATGGGAAAAGTAAATTAAGAGTCTCTACATTGACCTTCTAATTCCAAATTTAGAATATTTCGGGAGGGAGCAAAAAAATTAGCTGTCCTCATGGAGCTTACGTTCTAGTAAGGAAAACAAGTAATTTACCAAATAATCACACGGACAAAGGTGAAACCCCAGCTGTGACAAGCAGTATGAAGGGTTATGCAAGCCTGGTGAGGTCAATGGGTTGTGCAGGTCAGGGAGATGCCCCTGAGGAAGCAAGGCTTCTAAGAGTTTTAAGGCACGAGGAGGAATTAAATGGATAAAAGAGAGGGAAGACCAATCCAAGCACAAGAAATAGCACGTACAAAAGCTCCTGTCCTAATACTGTGTCATCTCACTTATGTGTGGAATCTATAACTCACAGAAACAGAGAGGAGAATGGTGGTTGCCAAGAGGTGGGAGAAATGAGATGTTGGTCAAAAGGCACAAACTTCCAGCGATAAGACAAGCAAGTTCTGGAGATCCGGTACAGCACGCTGACTATAATTAACAATACTGTATTATATACTTGAAAGTTGCCCAGAGAGTAGATCCTAAATGTTCTCACCACACAAGAAAACAAAAGGTAATTATGTGAGGTGCAGCATGTGTTAACTAACCGTACAGTGGTAATCATTTTGCAATTCATGTGCATCAAATCATCATGTTTTACACTTTAAACTTACACAGTGCTGTATGTCATATCTCTATAAAGCTGAAGAAACAAACTAAATAGTTTTTGACCTGAAAAACAAAAACCCCTGTCCTTTATTGACCCTATCCCCATTCTTTGTCCTCCATATACACTCAGCAATCCAGGCTCACCTATTTTTAGACGCCTCTTGTATACCTTTATCTCCCTACCACGCACCATTATCCAAACCCTCACACTTCTGCATCTGGATTCATACAGAGAGCCTCCAGTTGTTTCCGTTCTATCATTTCTTTCCCTCTATTTTGCAACTAAAGTTCCTTAAACATAAATTTCATGCTCATGATTTAAAATTCACAAACAAATGAGAAGGAATCCTTGGGTCATGGTTTGAAGTTGAATAAAACTTACTAATCTTCACGTGACTCAGGTTCATCTAACCAATTCTACCACAGGGACATTTCTCAGTTCCCATGAGCCAAAAAAACTATTAAAACAGATAACACTCTTTACCATCATCCAATAAATAAACAGATAGATAGACAGAACATAAATAAATAAATAAATCTTAAAGACTTTTACTTACTAGCCTAACTTGAAGTTCCTTGAAGCTAGCCCGCTGACTTCCCCCTCCCCCCAGAACCCTGTGCCCTATGGGCTGTGTCTTCACTTGCCCATAAACACAGAAGGTGCACTCCTGCTTCCAGTCAGCGTTTTCTCACTGCCAGACAGGTCCTCCCCGCTCTCCCCTTTTTATACCCATCTTAATTTCATCTTCATTCTTGAAACTTCCTCCCTCTTCTTGGCATGCCAACTATAACTGTATTTCTAGCCTACACCACATAACTTAGTCCTCATTACCTACTAGGGCAATCTGTAAGTTAGTTCTGGCCCTCGTCCCAAAAATGCTCATATTTTCATGGGGTTAACATATGCTAAACTGTTTGAGGTTTGCCGTGATGCTAAGAATATTGTAACTCTCAATAAATGCTTACTGGTTAAAGGCTCAATATACTTTCTGGGGGATTGGAAGATAAGCATCTATTAAGTGAGCTTCTAAGGCAAACAGCTGGAATGTAATCAATTACTTGACTATACTATATCACACTACAAAAATGTTCAAATGGAGGACATATAGTATGATCCCAATTCTGCAGGAAAAAAGTTGCTTACACATGCATGCACAGAAAACATCAAGACTACTCAAGAAGTTAATAGTGATAACCTCTGGGGAGTGACAGTGGAGGGGCGCACATTTACAGGCTGACTTTTCACTTTCTATCCACCTCTTCCACTTCAATTTAACATCAAATATATAATAGTTTTAGAATAAAGAACTAATACCAATGTTAGAATATAAAACAAATGATTTTGAAAACTAGATTATATTCATTCTGAATATGTCTTATTTGGAATTCAAGTTATACATTGTAAAAAATATATAGACAGTTCTTAGATTTCATAAGCATGGAGTGAAAACAAAAATTAGACTAGGAAAAGTATAAAATTTGAATTGCTAATACAGAAGTTGAGAAATACAAGGACATTTATTTTTAAATAGACTTTAAGAAAGCCCATTTGTTACTATGAAACCATTCGGAACTATAATTCACTAAGTTCATTTTATCGAATTTAATGAAAGCTACAAACATGGTAAAAACACATGAAAAGGTACCAGTACCTGATTATTAAAGCTGACACAGAGCTTAGAAAACCTAATGGGATGTGGACAATCAGCCTTCAGATAAATATCGAAGTGCACAGGAACATCAACGTGAAAACTCGGGGCGTGGAACTTGGCTTTGCATTGAACTAGAAGAAAAACAAGAAGGGCTGAGTCACATGACCAGGCTCTCTAGACCCACACACGACTCTGATCCACGTTCACTCTCCAGAAACGACACATCGACACTGGCCATTCTGACTGACTTCCACACATGAAGCATTTCAACAGACACAAATGCAGCTCACTTTCAAAAAACAAACAAAATTTGAATAAACTAAAGTTCTAAAACCATCTTTAATTTTAAAAACATAGTTGCTCCTGAAATGTAACTGGTCTAGGATTTTAAAGGAAAAAGAATCACTTCGCTTCAATTTATTTCAAACTACCTGCCTAGACATTAAAGCATAAAGCTTTTAAATAACTGTTCAAATGGATTTCATATAACATGTGAACTACAAAGGAACAAAGTAAATTTTAAGATGCAAACTAAGTATTTAAAATTTTGACCATCTTTATAAGTCAGGGGGGAGGAAAAAAAAATATCTATAAAATGACTGTACTTTGAAAGTGTTCTCTGACTTCCATATTTATTATTCTGCATCTCTTCATTTTGTAGAAATAAGGATGATTTCTGTGAAATAATATTGTAGATGGCTACCCACCAAATGGCACAAAGTCCTGTACTCCTATTGTGAAAACATTGCTGCCGGCCAGAGACACTCGGTCTGCCCACAGCTTCTGGGCCGTTTTCACAGCCAAGATATCACAGTCCGGTTCAGGATCAGGACTTTCATTCTGCACCAACACAGAGTTAAAGACTCGTTCAGCTAGTTATAAAAAACAATATCTAGACACAGATCTGGGTATACACATCCCCAGAACATATTTTATATAAAGAATTCCTACCAACCATTAAAACATTTATGAGGTTCTTTTCTATCCGAGATTTCTGGTCATCTTTCAGAGTTGAAGCTAACACGAAAGAAGAAGGAAAAAAACCAAAACTGTTAAGACAGGCAAGTAAAGTAAGTCCACTACCCCATTTAAGGTACTAAAATATCGTAGAATAAGTATCTCTTCTAAGATGGCTAAGCATGATTCCAGAACATTTACAGCTAGCACAGCTTTCTAAAAGCCCCAACACTTTATATACTTGCACTTGAACTCTATGTGAAAAGTCATTTATGCTATATTTTAAAAAGTAAGGCAGGAGAATTTCGTTCTCCTCAACTATAACAAGCTCAGCGAAAGTACAAATCTTATCACTCGGCAAAGTGCCTCCCACATAGTAAAAGTACTACCCCAACATTGAGACGGAAGGATTCTTTCCGTTTTAAGAAGCTTAAAGATGCTAAATAATTTTAAAGATTCAGAAGTGCACTGAAGAACACGAGGTTACCTCTTCCAAGGAGTTCGAGGGAATAGGTAACGTAATCTTTTAACTGGGCCATGAGGTAGGAGCACTTCAGAGCCGTCGTCAGTATGGATGTGAGTAGGCTCCACCAGCCCTCGCTCCGATAATCACACAGCACGTAATCCAGCAACCTCAGAGAGGACAAACGAGACACACACTGACACAGCTTCACAAGAAAGGGTCTGAAGAGTTCTCGCAGAAAATGAAGTGCTTTACTCATTTTGCTTAAACTTCAGAAAATCTTACTGAAATAGTTTAACAGGTATTTTCACAGTTAGCCAAATTTGAGGTTTCCTAAGACTTTGAAAATGAGTGGACCAGCAGATAGTACTAGGAAAAAAGAATCGCAGAAATGGAGTTTAATAGAAGTAGAAATAAATATGAAAATAATAAATCTTCAATACAAATTTCTATTCTAATTTTGCTGTAAGGTAATCAGAATACTTATAAAACTAAATAGTGAATAGGACTTACTTCAAAGCTTTGGTATAATCCTTTGCATAATAATATTCCTCTCCCATTTGAACCACTATAAAGAAAAAAAGATAAGTACATAATTTAAAATTATTCAAAGCTGCATGAAACTGTGGCATGGACGGATACATACTTAGATGACTTTTCATTCTGGGACATTTATACTTCTTAAATTGTGCAACAGCATTGCTCAGAAGAGTTATTATTATTTCCTGTTAGAAAAGGTAAAATGCGAAACATTACGATAAAAATAATCTCACGTTTTCCTTGAATATGGTAAAAAAAATAGCTTATATCGGGGGAAAAAAACTTACAGAGTGAACAACACTTCTCTCCTTCAGCTGAATGGCAAGAATTCCCACTTTCTCTTTTTCAGGATCAGAAAGATCAAAACCTGCGTAAGACAAGACGCACCCCATTTTAAAGAGCTCATTTAATACAAATCCTTCACATGAACATGGGACATGTACACTCCTTGAATCCTTTACTTAATATAATGTACTTAAGATCCTTAAACATTCTAGAATTTTCAAGACAGCCTTATTAGCATGGAAACTTCTCTGTGGTCTCTGTTCTGAAAAGAACATTACTGAGTTCAACATTCTTTGCCGACCGGAATCAACCACCTGAAGAGCAGTATCATTCTCTAAACAGAGCATACTTCCTGGGTATTAAAGTCAATCATTTCTTAATGCTTCAGGTTCAAGTGCCACAGAAACTGCTCAAATTAAGTATGTATAAAAAACAGAAAAGATACAGAGACATTGTTTTCACAGTGATACCAGTTAATGCTGTTTTACAATGTCAAATATGGCAAATCATTAAAGTTAACTGGAATTAAAATATTTAAATAGACCAGAGTGGCCTATTAATTGTGTCATTTAAGACAACAGATGTCCAAATGTTTTAATCACATCTGCATGTTTAATTATAAATTATTCGAAGATGTAGTGATACAAACAAAACATTCCAAAAACTAAACAACTGAAAATCATTAAAAAATGTTTAAAAGCACACATTTTTACCTCAGTTTGTTATGCCTACTGCAGCTAATGGAAAAACTATGATCGCAACCTTTGCTGTTTGAGGTTCAGAGAAAAGCGAGGAAGGAAAAACTATTTACTTAGTATTCCTTGTCGCCATGATCTTTGTCCGTAAAAGTCGAGAAGGCCTGTCTGCGTTTCTAAGGGATCAGGATTGGGATACGTTACAGAGGCCTGTAAATCAAAACACAACCCTAAATAAGAGCTGCCATCACAAACCAACTCTCCCTCAATCTGTAATAGAACAAAAAAGTTTTCATAAATACAAATACCAAACACACGTTCAGATATCAAAGCTGTGAATATTTTAACATCAATTAAATTTTCACAAAAGTTAAACTAAAAATGTTTCGTTTAATATTTAAGTAATCTCATAAGAATCAAATTGAATAAATCAAACTGATTCTGACAAATGATTTCATAGTAACCAACTTGTTTACATTTCCTTTTTATCTTTGCTATAACAAACCAGAAAAAACATATCACACATTACACTTGATGTTTATTCCATATGTATAAGTGCTTTTTGTGCAAATGAAAATAATGTTATAAGGAGTTTTAAAAAGAAAACACTATTTTCCTTCTTTATCACTTGGTATTGGGGGTAGGGACTTTTTTGGCACCAGAATTTACAAATTCACACCGCTTTATTTTTCTTTTTTGTAACTTTTTCCCTCTAAAACCAAAATGTAACACAAGTACATTGGTGAAAAATGCAGAAAACATCCAAATTGAAAAAGATAAAGATTTAAATTAGCTATAAACCTACTACCACTGTTAACAATGTACACATTATTCTTCCAGAGTTTGCATGCTAACATTTATTCATTATCAATTGGAATAATTTTTCAATCTGCCTTTTTCATGTAAATATAGTCTACACATTTCACCATATCACTAAATACTATTTTTCATGGCTGCCAGCTGTTCTACATTTTAATAAATTCCCTACAGTTGTTCATCTTGTTATTTGTATTTTATATTACAATTAATAAATCTGTCAGAACTTTATAAATAAATCTTAGTATTCATCTCTTAGGATCTCTTATCTGCCTTAGGCTTCCTGAAAATAAAATTAAGGGTCAAAGATATGCGTGATTTTAAGGCTTCTCAAACTATTATTTGAAGGAAATATTATTTTACATTCCAGTCAAAGACATTTGTTAATGCCTGTTTCCTCATATCCTTATAAAACCCAGTTTTAATTACTTTTAAAACACCATGTTCAAACTACAATATGCCAAACTTTTAAAATATAAAACATGCAATGAAGTTATAAATCATAAATAAATAATGGCAGAAAATAGTCTAGTTATATCACAATCTAAGGGAAAAAAAATCAATACATTTAAAGTACTAATATGCAGACTCTGTTTTTGGAATAGTTTTTAAAGTAGTACTGTTGATAATATTTACCTCTCTTAGGAGAAGAAAACTGCAGATTTTAAGTGAAAATAAACTGATATAACTATATGAATATAAATGTTTATATAGAGACACATACACACACACACACACACACACACACCATGTTCTTATTTTAAAGGTGCTTATGAGGAAGCTGATATCTGACAATAATTATCCAAGAGAAAGGCAAAATGAAATGTCAAGTTTAAGAAACTATGCAATTAACACTATGTCTCACACAGAGTTTTCCACAGAAGAAAACCCCAGGAAGAGGACGAAGTCCAAAGGCGTGCTCTCCGGTGGGTCACAACAAAGCCCGTTCCTCCAGGGTCCAAACTCCCACAGCAGTCAGCACACAAACAAAAGAGCGGATTCACAGTGCGCAGGGACTAAACTGCGGCTTTTACTCTACAGCAAGTTTCTCCTGTCTAAAGCACTAACTTATTGCCAATTGTAAAAGTTCTTCAAAAAAAACTTCTGCTTAATTCACTGGTGAAAATGGAGGACTCAGGCTAAAACTGAAAATAATCATAATTCCTGAAAATATAAAAGAAAAAACTGATTATATTCAAAGGCTTGGAAAAATTATCGAGACCAATCAGTCTTATCTTCTTTCAAGGGAAGATTAATAAATCTCCTAAATGCCAGATAATACAGGAGTCAGTAACTTACTTCGTGGCTGCAGAGGGTTTTTGCAAGCTGCTTCCGCTCCTGGGCATAGTACGCTGCCTGCTGGTAATAGAAACCAGGATTCTGAGTTTGAATAGCCGTCAACCCTAACTTAATAGCTTCATCAAATAAATCTCCAAAGGCCTGGAATCTTAAAGAAAAAAGAGCAACAAATAAAAAAAAAGAATGAAAAAGAAAAAGGAAGGCAAAAGAAGCTCACTTCTAATAATTATTCGCCCTGGAACCATAACCTCAGGAGACTGTATTAAAATAATGGTACTGATGAACTTTAAATTGCTGGGATTTCTTTTAACTACCAATACAGACTAAGTGTAGATTACAGATAAATTCTGTATTTAAGTCAACTCTTCTGTGCTAACAAGTCTTCATAAACATACCATCAAAGTAGATGTCAACACAGTTCCCACCACTCAAATACACCCACGTTTCTGGGAACAATTTCATTTTATCAATTTTTAAACATCAGTCTCAAACAGCATGTTCCATGTCAACGGAATTTTGTTTTGTTTACTGCCATATTCTCTGTACCTAGACACATGGTGGAAATTCAATAAATATACGTTGAATGAAAGAGATGGTACCATGATTAACTGATTTCCAGTAAGGAACTATATAAATCAACTTCTATTACTGGAAACATGCTTATGCTACATCATTAAAAATCTACTTACTGACAAAAATCTTACTTCAATTTACAATCAAAATCCAGACTAATTCCATTCCTTCATATCCCAAGTATTTCTTTAAAAACATTGTAAAAGTACAACTTAAAACATACTGTTTAGCCATCCATGCAGCATGCTCAAAAGACAACTCTGCACTTCCGATTTTTTTCTTACACAAGTCGACGTGTTTCCGGAACTGAGCAATTGCATCTAATGGGGTGTTGTGCTGAAAACACAGCCTACAGATCTGCAAAATGTAACATCAGCCCCACAGTAAAGAGGAAAATCAAAGTCAAAAGGCATAGCCATTTAAAAATATGTAAAATCTGAGACTAACTTTAAAAAGACTACAGAATTTCCTTCTTGAAGTTCTTTGCAATAGAACTGATTTTCTCTATCAGAATGGTTATGCTACAACCAGAGGTTATGTCCCTTTGATAAATGAAAGTATTCAGAATTTATACTGAATCTCTTCTATACCTTCGGAAAGCTTTTCAAAAGTCTAGAACAAAAAACTGTCATACCCAGTAAAGAACATAAAGATGGGCAAAAATAAAATCTCTCTGACAGGGCACTGAGACAGGACAGATTAACCTTCAGTTTTAGAATTTCCAGAAAGCTCAAGATTTTCTGTAGCACACTTAGACCAGAGCAGCCTCCAGATCAAACAAGGATTACAAACATTCTTGAGAACTTTTTGTCTGAAACGCTATTTCAAAACAGTAACAATCCATGTGAATACAAGGTAAAAGGAAAAATAGAAGAAATAAAGCCTAAATTTATTTCCACATGCTTATTGCTAGTTTTAATTTTATTTTTTAGTTACAAAGGAATATATGAAGTCAAGTCTCTCATCCACCTGTCCCTCAGCTGTCCAATTTCCCTTTCCAGAGGCAACAGCTCCCGGTACGTCTCATGAAATACTCTACGCGCAGACAAGCGTGTGTGTGCATTTATACATACACTATTATTTTATAGAAATAGCGTCTCACTAAATATGCTGCCTTGTTTGTTCACCTAACATTATATCTTAGATATCATTCCATGTTAATATATGAAGCTGCCTCATTTTAACAGTTATATAAAATTCCACTGTTTGGAGTTGTAATTTATATTAACCAGTCACTCACTGCTGGGTTGTTTCCAGTCTTTTCCTATTATAAGATGCAATAAACATCCTTACATATGTGATCTGCAAGTCTGAGCATATGTCAGGTATATTTTCTGAAACGGAACAGCTGGTCAAAGGGGACATCCATTGTAAGTCTGTATGGTCATTACAAACATGTTCTCTGTAGAAGCTGGACCAGTTACACTTACACAGCGAATTAAACTGTCCACCTTCACGTCACCAACCCAGTGCCAGCCATCTTTAAAAGATGAGTGTGCAACATTAAATGCAAAACAAACAGCCCCCACTTGTGCTCTGGGGGCATCTATTTCTACCATATACAATCTTAAAATGCTCAAATAACAGCTAAAAGTTTCCCCTAAGGCAAACAGATACACCTTTTCCATGGCTGTGTCATTAAACCAAGGACGGCTTACATAGTTCTAATACGCTGCATCTTTTAAAATTCAATAATAAAGGCAGCTTTCTTCTCACTCCCTCCCGCTCCCACTTACAAATAAACAAAAGACCTTCCTCAAAGAGTTTTACAAAAGTAAAACTGCTCTAAATGAGAACTCAGGACCCATACTCAAAACTAAGCATTACAATTAGGCTCCTAAGAACCAGGGCGCTCCTGGAGACACAGGACATAAAAGAGGAGAGCATAATTAATCAAATATTCACTTTTCAGAACAAGTAACTAACTTTGATTTTCAAATTTTTAAGACAATCTAACATTTAAGGACAGATTTCTTTATTTGGAATGGAACTATTACCTTGTAGTTTATAAATCCTGCCATAGTCTTAATTTCCAGAATATTTGTTTCATGGGCTCTCAATTCATGTACCAGATTATAGGCGGTCCTATAATTCCTAATATAAACATGGGGAAGGTGGTTAATTATGACATAAATTAATTTTAAGAAAAGATTCCTGAGAAAAAATTATTAGAAGTAACAGACAATATTTACTCAAGATTTCTTTGCACTCGACAGCTCAATAATAACATATACATATTAATCTCTGATTTCTTGGAAAATGATATATTGATTAATAATGTGTGGAAGTAATCAATGACTTTTCACTAATAGAGCCATCACATGTATGTTGTTCTGTCATTAACATCTGTTAATAACTGATAGAAAGCAAGTTCAAAAATGAAAGTAAAGTGGACAATCGTCCAGAATTACATTAAAAATTAGCATTCTGTTGAAAAAACTAAGTATTTTTTAAAAGCACCATTACAAGCTTCTCAAATAGAAATTCTATTAGCAAAAAAGACAAGACAGTACAGGTCAACAGCTTTTCTATCAAGGATCTCTACAAGTTAAGTGGGTATCACTGGTCTCGGGTATAGGCTGGCGAGGGGAAATGTCCTCAGGGTGGCTAGCGCTGATGGAGACAATGGTGTGAGAAAGGGCAGCCCAGAAGGAGGCCTACCCTAGAGATGGGAGGTAATGAGAAAATCTGTCTTCTCCAAAGAAAATTCCTAACTTCTAACTTCTCTGGGTAAAATTTTTCTTTCCAGTTTTACTTTTGAACTGAAGTGGAATTGAAGGTTTTAACTAATACCATGGATAAAAAATGAACAACATTAAAGCCAGCTATAATTATATGAAGTTGTTAAGATTTAGAGAACATAATTTGGTGCTTCACATCTCAATAACAAAACAGAAGAGGTTTCTGCAATATTGCTCTGAATAATAGATTTATTTTTATTTATTTCTCTATTTTTCTCCCCTGTACACTTAGCCTCTTCTCAATTTTAGGATATACAGTTACGTGTTGCTTAACACTGGGGAAACGTTCTGAGAAATGCATTAGGCAATTTTGTCATTGTGTGAACATCACAGAGTGTACTTGGACAAAGCTAGATGGCACAGCCTACTACACACCTAGGCTATATGGGACTAATCTTAGGGGACTGCTGTAATATATGCGGTCTGTCATTGATCACAACGTTGTTATATGGGCTCATGACTGGATAGAAGTTTTTTACCCACTTGTTACACTGCCACTGTCAATCTTCAAAAGCTGAGTGAAAGCCAGAAAGAGATCATGTTATATGCTTAGTAAAAGCAAAAGAATTAAATGCTTGACCACTGCCCACACATATGCAACTACTCTTCAAAGCTCTAAGTAGAGCCTTTGAATGAAAAATGATGCTATGACAGGCATTATCAACCAAAAAAACTAAGTTAAAAATAAAACTATAGTTGAACTGAATAAGTGCACTACACACCTTACGACATTCATAGTCTGATTTAGATAATGTTTAATGTATATTTAACTTTGGAAATCAGTCTTAACACGAGGATTTTACTGAATATACAAGTAAGTAGTAGTCAATAGGATGGGAAAAATTTTAATATTATGTTTCTTTAGATCATGAAATTTAATTGGACCAGAAATCTTTATGACACTATGAAGTTTATTTCTGATAGTAAAATGGAAGTTTTTTTAAAAATCCCAAAATATTATATTCCATTCACCTCTAGACAAATTAAAGTGATTATTACATACCTGAATCTAAGCAACATAAACATTTTAAAATTAAAGTTTGGTTGAGATTTAGAAATTGCCATTAATATATTATTGTTAACATAAAGATAAAAAAATTTAGTTCGGCAACTGTTAGAAACTTACTTCAGAGCATTTTGTGTATCTTGTTTCAACTCACTGAAGAAAGCTATCTTGAACTGATGTCTAACAAATAAAAGCTAAAAAAAGAATTTAAAAAACACCATTATTACATATATTCTCTTAAAAATTATAATAATGTTTATTAAAAGGAGACATAAAAGTATGAAGGAAAATATTCAAAATTAAAGTTCAAGAATTATTCCAACAAACAAATATAGTTAAGAAGGCTGTATCTATCTTTAAGAACTTTAAGGGCAAAGAGCACAAAGACAGATTAGTTCTTAAAAGCTTTAAAAATAACTTTAAAAGTACAAAAGCCTTTTAAAAACATCAAAGTATGAAAGATATTTAATAATCTCCTCAAAAATAATCCATGATGAATAATCTCTCTAGAATGCTTCTATTGTCTCCTTCATTAGGAAAAAACACGTACCTGGTGTGTTGTTTTATTCAAAAATTCCTTATGAGATTTCACTCTTCTGATCTCAGTGTAGTAATAAGTCTGTGCATGTTCATAAAAGGCATTTTCTAACCTGTTAAAAAAGAAACACCAACATTCAAACACTGAAGTTATTTTAAACCAAACTGTTTTCAAGAATCTTATTTGTAAGACCTGAAAGTAAAATGCCAACAGAGATAAGGTCTAGTTCACTTCATGATTAAGCTAAAAACGGAAGCAAAATATAACCTGAATTTCCAGATTAAAAATCTAAACGTAAGACCTCCCAAGAGCCATTTCCAATTATTTACAATCCAAGAAATAACTGATAAAAATCTTTTTTGTAATTTGTAAAAACTAGGTAGTCTCTATATTACTTCCTCCTCTATTATTGTTTTGTTTTAAAGATTTTTTCCCCTTTTTCTCCCCAAAATCCCCCAGTACATAGTTGTGTATTTTAGCTGTGGGTCCTTCTAGTTGTGGCATGTGGGTCACCGCCTCAGCGTGGCCTAACGAGCGGTGCCAGTCTGTGCCCAGGATACGAACCAGCGAAACCCTGGGCCGCCGAAGTGGAGCACGCAAACTTAACCACTCAGCCATGGGGCCAGCCCCCACCTCTATTATTTTATAATTTTATAAGAAGTCTGAAAGAAACAGATATCCAATCAATTAGATTTGACTACTTTTTGTGGTTTTAATTTAGAGTTTAAAGGATAAGAAAATTAATGGGAAAAGGACCAAAAATGAGAACTGGTTTAAGTCTGCTTCCTGCCATAACTTTGAGACTACATAAGAACAAAGAAAATCTGACCAGAGATGGGTAAGCAACTGAAAGCTCCTTTTGTGAAATGAAGTACATATCCGAAATATCTGCCTAGGGCAGGAAAAAAAGCTGAATTCATAGTCAGGTAAGGGTTGAACTTCAAGGTTTTTCCTCCTCAGAACAAAACAGAATTTTGAAATTGTATTCAAAGGGTTTAAACACATCTAAGGAAAACACGTGAAAAAAAAAGGAAAAAAACAATGGATAAGTCAAAAACTTTTAAATTAGGTATTGTATTTTTTTCTTTTTCTTTTTTTTTTTTGAGGAAGATTAGTCCTGAGCTAACATCTGCTGCCAATCCTCCTCTTTTTGCTGAGGAAGACTGGCCCTGAGCTAACATCCGTGCTCATCTTCCTCTACTTTATATGTGGGATGCCTACCACAGCATGGCTTGCCAAGTGGTGGCATGTCTGCACCTGGGATCTGAACCGGCAAACCCTGGGCAGCCGAACCAGAACGTGCGAACTTAACCACTGCACACCAGGCCAGCCCCTAGGTATTATACTTTTAATTTGATTTTTCAGGTTAAGATTTTCTACTTTCAAAGCTAAAGCTTTTAAATTTTTAAAATATGAAAATAATTAGACTGGGATGTCTAATCTTATGGCAGCCAGAAATGTCTATAGGTTATCCTAAATGATTAAAAAAAAAAAAATCTTCTCAACAGAGAAATCTGTATTACTAACCTAGATTATGTCAGTAAAGATGAAAGATAAGCTTGCTTTTAGTTTTCAAGTTGGATGTGCACTCAGAGATAAAATACCTCTTAGTTAATACAGAGAAATAAGAGCAAGCATTATTTCCTGTAAACTTGTTATGTCAAACCAAATCCTTCCCTCTCTTCTAATATAACAGATCACACAGTTATAGAGATATCCCTGGATATAGGATAAGAGTTGTAAGACTAACTTTTTAATTCATATACTTCTATACTATTTGAGGGTGGGTTTTTTGGAGAAAAAAACATACAGCCAGTTCAAAAGGACATAAATGAATAAATGACAGATTTAGTCAAGATAGGAAGAGGTTAGTGAAAAGATCAATTCTTTTAGTAGATATTCCAAAATTATACTTTTAAGGTGACATCAAACAATTAAGAATGCTTTCTCAGGGAAGCAGACCTTGAGTTTGACTTTGAATCCTACAAGAGAAAATCCAACCAACTCAGTCTTCCCGTTTAGAGATTTAAACTAGCTGAATTTTAAATATCCACACTCTTTTCATGATGTTCCTCTGCCCCAAATAACTACTACTTCCTTCCCACTGACCTAAACCTCACAGCACAAGTGCTGTCCCTCCTGTTCTTTAAAGCCTGCCCGGGCCACATCCAGCACACGTTCTCTGAAATCCTACAGGACTTACACACTCCACCACAGATCCTACACTCGCATGCTCGGGTATTTAACATGGATGTTTCCATCTCACCAACTAAGTTAGTTCCTCCATGAAGGCAGGAACCAATTCGACTTCAAGACACACACATGCATACATATATATACACACATAAAAATATACACAGAGACATCTGCATTTTAAATTTATTATTTGACCTGCCTTAAAATAGAATTTATCCTACCAGGTCTTTTAGATCAAAATTTTGATTACGAGCAGCTCCTTACTCCAGCGGTTTATCAGAAAATACATGGTATTCATCTTAGCAAAATTCACACAAAGATCACGTGGACTCCATTTTCTGCTACCGCTGCAGCAGCACGTCACTCAGACACCCTTTTTAGAGTCTGAAGACGCATATCTTAGCCACGACAGCTGAACTGAGCCTCGCTAAGAGCTAAGGCAGGGTATGTCAAGCTCCGCACTATCGATGTTTTGGACCAGGTGACTGTTGAGTGGGCTTTCCTGTGCACTGCAGATGTGCAGCGGCATCCCCGGCCTCTACCCACTAGATGCCAGCACAGGACGCCTCAGTCGCGGCAATCATAAACATCTCCAGGCATTACCAAACGTTTCCTGGAGGGAGACCTCACCCCAGTAACGAATCACTGGATTAAGGTATAGGACAGGGGACAAGTAAAGAAGGCTGCGTGTGAACTAAGCCTTAAAAGTTAAGAGAGCCCAGAAAAGGGGAGCTGGAAGGCAGGAGCGAGCATGAAAGCACAGTGACAAGAACAGAGTGAGAACTGGGAAACACTGAAGTGCCAAGTACAAGGCCGAATTGTCCAATGCACAGAGAGGTACTGAAAGGCCAGTGGGGAGCCTGGGACAAGCCTCGGGGGAAGAACCAGCAGTCGGCATGTGCTGCCAGCCCTCTGGAAACGCCCCTCTCCTCTCTGTGCCTCTCAGGGTCACACACTCGCATTTAAAAGTCAAACTCAGGACCCCTTTCCTCTGCCTTCCACTTCCACTTTATCCTTAGCACTACTGACCTGACTTTCTTGTTTCCAGTGTGCAGATTTATTTTGCTAACTTTTCTTGCAGCTCATCTTCTCATCTGACTCTGTTGCCTTTTCATGCTTTCTCCTTCTGAATTTATTCTCTTTCTTAGAAGCCCTGTCACTTAGATAGCAATGAGAACGCCCTAAAACTTCCTGTAGTACTTCATTTTCACAAGTTTGCTTCTGAGAGACAGGAACAGATGCCAGAGAAGCAATAATCAAAGATAAACTGAACTGTTCTTGAGTTTAAGAAGGACACACGCAGAATGAAAAGGAAAACCATTTTATAGTTAAGATCAATGAAAATATTCACATCTAAATACATCCTAGCCATTAATTTAATACTATGAAACTCCTCTGCAATACTAAATGCTAGAAAACAATGGATAATGGTCACATATTTTGTGAGATAATGTTGTGTCCTCACGTAATATTCCTTATATACAAAGGCTTTGCAAAGATATCTAAGGTATGGTGGGCCTCAGATGCTTCTTAAAAATTATTTAAATATATACATCAACATATCAAAAGGGGAGCAAAATAGAGGCCAGAAATGGAGCCGCTGTCATATAAAAGGACCAGTATGTCACAAAAGGACACGGGGGAGTTACTGAAAAGCACAATGGAAAAACACGGAAGAATTTTTTAAAAAATGAAGTTGACCTAGATGTCCATATTGTGTCAATGAGGTAATGCCAAGTGGCAGTTCAGTACATGTTGTATGATTACATTTATTTTTAGATAAAAAGACATTTTTAGGAAGCAAACGAATTGTTGATAGTGGCTACCTCAAGGACTTGGAGAAGGTTAAGGAGTTGACAAAGAGGACTTTTATTCTTACCTTACATCCTCTGTACCATTTAATTTTTTTCCCATGAACATGTACTTTCTTTTTTTAACAAATAGGTCTAGGTTACCAGTTTCTCAATTCTTAATGAACAATTTAAAAAAAATTTTTTGAAGACCTTTATTTACCTTATAATATAACCCACAAGGTGGTCAGTGTGGGGCAGCACAAACAAAGACTTTCCTGAGAGTTCGCACGCATTGCATAAAGCTGCAGCCCTTTCTGAAGCAATGACATCTTCTCCTGTCGCCAAACCCCACAAAGATGAAGAGAAATAAAATAATTAATGTATTTCTCTAAGTGAATGCTTCCCCAAATGCGAACAATGTAATTAAGAATAAAACCCCAAACCACTTTTCCCCATACAAGTAGGACCCCAGGTGTCCTTGGGAGTTCTACGGGGTTCTTAGAAGCTACACAGTACATATCCATTAGGAAAACACTGTGGAATTTCCTACTGAGCCAAGATAGACAGGCCAAGTAATGCCAACAGATACACCACATAACTATTTCAAAAACCATAACTAAAAATGGAAGCAATAATACACAAAAGTGGTTTCCAAACTAGGATGTTTCAACATAGAAAAAAAAAATATTTTGGCCTCTCAAAGTCTGAGAAGGTAGAAGAAATAAGCATTTGAAACTAAGATCTTCTCTTAAAGAAAATTAGAAATCCTATAGTATTTTCCTTTGCCCTACTGCAAATTAAGAAATAAATACTATGTAAGGAATATAATTTCAAATAAATCTCCAATAAGCAAATAACATTCCTTTTTAAAAAATGAAGTGAGTAACTGTTTTGTCAATTGCTATGTGCCTACATGGTGAAGTAAGTAGAACCTGGGGAGGAAAATTTAACAAGATTTGCACTCCTTACAATTTTTAATTTTTTACAGTAAGCATTTATGCATGCATTATCGGTACTTTTTAAAGTTAAAAAACCATCTTTCCCATAACTGAAAACGCATAAAAGATTTTACCATTAAAAACTATGCCTCCTGATAACAGAATTGGAAGTATAAAGTAATTAATTCATCATTAATCAACCTTTTGATACCTGGCGGCAAAGGCGTTTTCTTCTGAATCAGAACCACTGCAACTTTTGTGTTTCTCCCTTGTAAACTTTGCCTGCAATGGAAAAAGAATAATGAAATTAATTAAATAATTAAATTGTTTTAACTTAAAAAAATGTATTCGGGACTTTACTTAAATTCAAGCTCAATAATTCAATCAAAGAAAGACAAATTTCAACTAAAAAACCCCAAGATTAAAGGAAATCTTTTCCTGCATACAAAGAAACATACATGCCACAATGATTTAAATTTTAGAAGTATAATCTCACATCAAGCTTCTAATCCTTACAACATCTGCGTTAAAAGCAAAGTTTAATCTATAGCTTTACGTAAGAGTTACAACACAACTTACTTCTTTACAGTGGTACGTTACAGAGCAGTGATCCAAAAGAATGAAGTATTTCAAAACTGAAGTGGTGATAAAGCAAGAGGTTCATGAGAGTAAGGAGAAAATTACTACACCTCCAAAAACATACCATAAATGCAAGAAAAGGCACTTGGAAATTTGGACTAATCTGTCTTCTAAATTTCTTCACATACCTTAGCACTACATAAGCTAATACTAATGCTACCTGTTAGGAAGTGAACAAGTTTCCCTGGAGGTCAGCAATCCCCAAATGACCAATGCAGTCTAAACAGGACATAGACGCCTTCAAAAATGTTAGTAAGCAGCAGACATGTGCAACCTCCCCGGTCAGTCTGATGAGTGGAGAGCCCATACCTGACTATTTCCACTCTGGTAGCGCACTCGGACTGCTTTTCTTTCCACTGAGGCTCATCCCAGTCCAGCTCATAGAACACGACCACCAGGGCTGGCACCAGATTCAGATGTTTATTCATCCAACCCGTCTTTAAGATGCCTTTAGGAATGTACCACTCATATGATGTTCTCTGCAAACATTGGCAAACGGGGAAAAGAGTTATTTGATAAGAACAGCAGCAGAAACCATCTGTTATTGAGGGACAGGCACTTTAAATGCATTTATCTCACGCAATACACATATGACACATTTTTAAGATGAGGACATTCAGGCTTACAGAGATCAAACGAGACAGCAAGTATGTGAGGTAGAATCTCAACCCTAGAGCCACTACAACTTCCATTTAAAGAACGACCAAAGCCAAAGCATTTCTAATGATGGCAAGGCTCTCAAATACCCTGGAAGTAAACAGCCCTTTTCCAGGTAAATTCTACTGATAGTCCTCACCATTCCAGTTTCTGTTATTGTAAAAGCCACTCAAATAAAATCTAAAACCCAATATGGCTTCATTTGTTTGAAATGTATACTGCCAGGATGGCATTTCACCTTACTTGTGGATGAAAGAAAAAATGGTGGGGTTTTTTTTGCTGAGGAAGATTAGCCCTGAGCTAACATCTCTGCCAATCTTCCTCTATTTGGTACGTGGGATACCACCACAGCATGGCTGACGAGTAGTCTAAGTCCATGCCTGGGATCCCAACCTGCAGACCCAGGCTGTCGAAGCGGAGCATGCCAAACTTAACCGCTAGGCCACAGGGCCAGCCTGACAATTCTTAAATATAGAAGCATAACAGCAGTCACCAGGGGTCAGCACTAAGTGTCACATCACGGGAAGGGGATGTGGTACATGCATCTCCCCTGAAGAACCCAGTGGAAATCTCAAATTACTTCCAAAGCACCTGTACTGACTCATACTACTTCAGCTCATGTTGGGCCAACGTCTACCTCAAGTGAGGAAGGACAAGGATAGTAAGGAATCCTGACACAAAAATCTTGAGGACTCTGGAAGGAACCAGGAACAGGAAAATGAAAAGCTCCTGAATTGGAGAATTCATCAAGGAGAAAGGGGATGAGCTCTGCCGGGCCACAAGCCTTCCAGGACACAAACACCACATTAAAAATATGCGTAAGGGCCAGGAATGCTATATCTTGCACAATTTCAGAGAGAGCTCACAGCTTCTACAGCGGGGTATATGCAACCATCTCCAGTGTGTGGTTCTCAACACACAAGCATCAGCTGGTGACCAAGTTCACAGGGCCCACCTCGTAGAGCCTAACTGAGGAGGCCTGGCATTTACATTTGCAATAAACACTCCAGGTGAGGATGACATACATGGTCCAGAGATGAGTCTCAAAAACACTGCTCTAGGGCAGGGAAAGAAAAAAAAAGGTGGGTGGGCAGTTTATTTCAATCAACATGTCTTCTTAACTGACTTTCAGACCAACCTCGCAAGATTATGATAAATAACAAATTAACCACCATACATAACTTTCTTAAAAAAGTAAACCGACATAGAACTACATACATATTAGCAGCTATTATTAATATCATCATCATTATAATTATCATTTTTCTAGGTAAATCAGAGTCTCTACAATGATGTTCACCCTAAAAGTCAGTTTTGAACTTAATACCTTTTCTTATTCCACTCTGATATGTAGAACTCCCCAAGGACAGAGAGCATGTCTTATTTAAATTTCTATCACCAGCCTATTGCTTAGTTTCAGGGACCTAACACAAAGCAAAATACGTGTGTGAAATTGAACCAAACTGTAAAGACCACGGATTCTATAAGGATACTGGTAATGATGAATGGGGAAGTGAGACCTTCTTTCTAAAGAGGTCTTTACAGAGAGTTGGGGTATTTTAAAGAAATGCAAAAAGAAAAACCTAGGCTCATAGGATAGAAAGTTAAATAACAACTATTATTAAAGATACCTGTAGGGTATTCCATACAGGAAAAAGCCTAGGGTTTTCTTTATACATCACTGTAACCATTGCCTTGATAAACTCAGGGGTTTTCTAGCACAGACAATAAGAATAAAAAAGATATACAGGGGCTGCTCTGGTGGCGCAGCAGTTAAATTCACATGTTCTTCGGTGGCCCGGGGTTCGCCAGCTTGGATCCCGGGTGTGGTCCCACGTACTGCTTATCAAGCCATGCTGTGGCAGGCATCCCACATATAAAGTAGAGGAAGACGGGCACAGATGTTAGCTCAGGGCCAGGCTTCCTCAGCAAAAAGAGGAGGATTGGCAGTAGTTAGCTCAAGGCTAATCTTCCTCAAAAAAAACCAAGATATACACACACAGAGGGAGAGAGAGAGAGGAGAGCCCCTATGCGATCATAACGTGATTACCTTGGGTCTACATTTGGGATACTCATGGTCTCCTGGGAGCACCTTGAAAGAAATTGGTACCCGATCAGCCCTCCGATTGGCACAGAAAGCATCCCAGACGGCTCGATGGACAGCATTATAAACTACGTCCAGGCCCGTAAGAGTAACAAAAGCCATAGGCCGACAACATAATTCCACAGGGAAGTCCCACTGTGTGGGGCTCATGTCCGAGGCGTCTCAAAAAATCTGCAATACAAATGTTAATAGTCATAATTAATTTTTTAAAAACCCATATCCATATCTAATATATGAAGCTCCACCATTTAAAAAACATTACAAAAAGGCAAAAGACTTTGCAAACTTTTGAGCAAATACAAAAGAAGACAGCAAAAGGGAAAACTTTAATTCCTAAATTGACCTATTAAAATTTAATAGCTATCGGTACTATATTTTTTAAAAATGTTTCATATTACAAAGGTTGCAGTCTACTTTAAAACAAATCAGTATTTTCAGTAACATCTCAAAACGCACACAGAACTCTGGGATGAGCAGAACAAAAAAGCAGGAAGGTGATCAAATTAAAATAGGCCTCATGACCTATTTTCAGCTATAAAGAAAAATAATTATTGACTCACACATAAAACAAAGTACAAGTATCTCTAATTTCTTTATAATTGCTAACATCTAATTTCTAAATTCCTAGGATATTACTAAAATAACATTCTAATTATCTGAATAGCTATGTTTTCTCATTTCCCCACAATTAATATAAAATGTACTATTTAAAGGAAAATCTATCTAATAATGAATGGAAACCTCTAGGAAGACAGGTTTCTATTGTGTCCTTTAGCTGAGAATCAGTCTATAATAAACCCAAGTATGCACGAACTTCAGAAAAGCAATTATATAAAAATGTGTTTATTCCAAAAAAAATTATCATTATATTTTCAAAATAATTTCTCATTTCCCAAAACATGTATCATGAGGTTCTTTTAAAAGCTGATCTTCACTAGCATATTTCACAGGCCTCAAATACAATTTGTGTGAAAAGTTAGGCACACATACGCCACGACTTGATAACCAAATATTTTTAACTGAAAGGTTAATTTGACAAAGACGATTAGGTTTCTCACATTTTAGTACTGAAGGAATAACTGGTACTGAATACGTGATTGGAAAGCTGACCAGAAATGATAAATGTCTACAATAGAGAGAAGTTTTAGAATTATTGAAACCAACATTTTTAGGAGAGGATGAAGCTACGAGGGCAGAGGACTGTATGTTTAGAGGAAGAAATAATTTAGCTCTAGAGAATTTTCGAGTGAAAATAAAAAAGAGATGGTCAAAACACAATATGGCTACCTTTGCTTGAAACCAAAAAGTCTAGATCATAGCCCTAGAGGTCCATTTCTCTTAATAACCCCAGTGGCTCAAGAGAATTAGCTGGGTCTTTGAATATGCAGTGGAACTAAGGGGAACTAGAAATGACTTACAAAGCTCTAAATCACAGTTTTGTCCAAGAGAAATATAATATGAACCACATAAATAATTCAAAATTTTCTAGCAGTCACATTAAAAAAATACAAAGCAGGTGGAATTAATTTTAATAATATTCTATTTAACCAATATGCCCCAAATATTTCAACATTAATATAAAAGTGACCAAGATATTACACATTTTTTTTGTACTAAGTCTTCAAAATCTGGTGTGTATGGTACACTCACAACACATTTCAATTTGGGCAGCCTATTTTAAATGCTCAACAGCCACATACGGCTAGCGGCTACCATACTGGACAGCACAGCTCTAAACGACCTTAATTCTGACCCAAAAAATTACTATGTGAAAGTTGTACCAGAAATTCTTACCACATTCTACCTTAAAAGCTTTGGCACTTGAAACGGTCGTGCTTATTCTATACCAAAAGGATGGGAATGAGAAGAACATGGGCCAAGGATAGATGGAGAGGCTGTGCGGATCTCCAGGACAGCCTGGAGGAGAAATTTCCAGATCTCTTGGAAGAAGCCAAGGAAGCAACTAACCATCCCACGACGTGGGAGGAGGTGCAGAAGCTGTGAGTGAACACTCCGGATGGGAGATCATGTAGTGCAAGGGATGCAATCTGGAGGCTGGCGTGGAAGCTAACAAGGAAGACTCGGGAAGGATGACACACCGCAAAGAAAGCTGACCTCATCAAAGTGACAGGTAAAAAATGCGGTCACTAACTTTTAATTAACGGAAGTTCACGGTGCAGGACACAAGGCCACCAAGGATGAGATTCAGAGAAGTTCGACTACAAGACGATCAAAAGAGGAATGACAGTTCGGTGAAAAAAAAAAAAAAAAGCAGATGTTGAGGATGCGAAGCGATAACCTGATTTAGGAAAAGTGGTCGCAGTATTCCGAGATGGTAGCTCCAACGAGGAAGGGCTGAGAAACAACGCTGCAGCCCTAAAGGCAGACGCTATCCTCCTCCCCCTCCCCTTTTAAACCTAGAGGCCCTAGAAATACGTGCATCTTTTCCTTTAGGGGCTAAAAGAGAAAAGCCAGGATTGCACCCGCTGACACTGAAGAAAAAGGCAGGCCCCCCCACGCCGGCATTGTTAGGAGCTAGCTCTCTCCCCCGGCGGTCTCGCCTGGCCCCGCAGCTTTCCGGGCCTGCACTCACCCAGGCCGCACGCCCCGGGCCGGCTGCAGCTGTGGCCGGTCGCCGCAAGCCGGGAGAGGACGAGGGGAAGCAGGCAGGGCTGTCACAGAACGCTGAGGCCGTCCCCACCGCCACCGCCCCAGAGCGGGTTCCAACCAGCGAGACTTCCCCGAGCCCACCTGCGGCACGCACAGGAAGCACTTTCTGCGCCTGAGTGACAGCGCGCTACACCAATCGCTGTCTCGGAACTTTACGCGGCTCCGCAAAACGTCAGGAAGACGCTGCATTTCCTAGAGGAGGAGGAGCCAGGGGCGGAGAGGGAAGGAGCCAATAGGAGAAGCGAGGAGCGGGAGGAGGCGGAGCCTCTGCCGCGGCCGCCCCGCCTCTCCCCAGACGCGCCGGCGCCCCACCTGCCGCGGCCTCCGGCTACCCGCCCACAGTCCCCGCCAGCAGATTCGCGCGGCCTGAAGGCCGGGGTGCGCGTGACTCTCGTCGGCTGTGCGAAGGGTGTGCTTCCCGAGCCGAGGGCGCGGAAGGGGGACGCCCCAGCCTCGGGGCCCTTCGTGGTCGCGAACGCCGTCCGCCCGGGAGGCTCCCCACGTCCGGCACGATGAGTGCCAACGAGGACCAGGAGGTGAGTCCCCCGACTGGGCGCCCCGGTCCCCGCGCAGGCGCAGTGCGCAGCGCCGAGGGAGGGAGATGACCCCCCGAGGCTCGGGAGTGACCCGGCGCCGGGACGGGCGGGCCCGCATGTGCCCTCGTCCCTGTAGCCGACAGAGCCCGGCTGGGGGGCCCCGAGTTCCCCACGGTCCTGCGCGGAGAGGCCAGGCCCGCGTGAACGGGTGGTGGGGCCCTGGCCTCCTCTGCCCCGGCAGTTTTCCGTTTTGCAAACCCCGGGGTCGCCCCAGGTCTCCTTAATAACAAGGATGAGTGTCCTTGGTCCGCGACCCGGTGCACTTGGCTCGCCTTAAATCCGTGTGTTGTGAGCGCTTGTGCACTGAGTTATGCTGTTTGGAATCTGATCACCTTTAAATTTTAAAGTCTGTTGGCTGGTAGAGAAAGAATGAATTGAGTGGGTTAAATTTCTGGTGGGGGAAAATAATGACACTGGTGTCGCCGGTTTCTAGCCACATTGTTTGGTGGAATCATTTATCCATCTGGTAGTTGTCTGGTGGCTGTGAAGTCTGTGTTGAGCATATATATATATATATCACCTGAATTGTATGGTTTATGCTCAGATTATTTTCTCGTGAAATGCGACTTTGACGTTAAATCATGTAGTACAGTTGGAGGGGATGCCTCGGGTCATCTCTGGGGGACCCTTCTAATTTTGTAATGTGGGCAGGTGAGGAGAAGGGTCTGCAAAGGTGCAGCCATTGTCCCAGGGCTGCACGGTGAGTTTGTGGGAGAAATCAGGACTAGAATCCAGTCTCCTAGATAAGTAGTAGTTATCTTCATTTAGAATATATTGTTTGGAAGCTAGCACTTTTGCAAGATAAATGTAGTGGAATGTCCGAACTGGAAGTTACCTTTAAAAGAGCCAAAGGCCAACAAGCTAGTTGATATTTGAATCCCTTCTAAAATATTCTTGCCAGACGAGTTTCTAAGCCAAGGCATGAACAGTTCTTACTGTGAAGCCTGGAGCATGTCATGTAATGGTTCTCAAAGCTTGGCGCCGTGGACCACAGCCTTAGAACCAATTGGGTGCTTCTAAGAAAAACGGATGCCCGAGCTCTACCTCAGATTTACAGAATCAGAATTCCTGCCGTGGGGCCCAGGGCTCTCTGTTTTAACGGTAAAATTCCATTCTTCTTCCACAGGGCTGATTTTCAGATCTTTGAAGACAGTTTTCCTGACTTCCTGTTCTCCATTTACCTTTCTTCATATGTCCAGTCTTTTTAGTTCTTTCCGTCTCCTGGAATCATGTGTCTGTGGACAGGTTATAAGTTTATTTGTATCTTATTTTAGAATTGTGGCATCACAGAGTTTACTGTCAACTAAAACCCTTTAAGCGCTTTACGCAAAGCATTTTGTATTTCCTGCTTTACTTGTGTATTTAGGTATCTAAGGACAGGTTCTGCCTGCCCTGAAAAGTTTCATCTGGTTAGATTGTTTTTCAGGGACTTTCTGAATTCTTAGTCTGCCACCAGCATAACTCACTGTCCCGTCAAGCTGTCATCCAGAAATTTGGTCAGCCTGCCTTCAATTTTTGTCCCTGTCCAAGCCATTACTTAAAATATGGGCAAGGATTAAGGGCAGAAAGAGTACCGCTATATTTTGAGTAAGGTTGTTCTTATCTAGTCTTCTCAGTTATTCTTGAATGTGGTTTGAATTCCTGTATTTTTTTCTGTGAAGGTGGGAAGACAGACGTGTGGTCCCCGCTGAAATCAAGGCAGCCGCTTTGTGTCTTTCCCTAACATATCACTCAGGTTACCCTCTCTAAGAAGTGGTGTATAGATGTCGTGTGCTTCATATGCTTGCCACATCTTAGGGACTCCTCCTTACTCTCCTAGGTCCTCACAAACTCTTCCTTTAATGATCTCTTCTAAAACTTTGTCCATGTAGATCAACTCACTCATCCTTAGTGTGCAGAATTCATGGCAGGCATCTTTTTGAAAGTTAAGATATATACCCAAGTGCGGTCTGTCTTTGCTTCTCTCCTCACGAATTGATCAGAAATCACGGCAGTGATTGGGTCTTCTCGTGGGCAAGCCCACAGAGTTCTAAGAAGTATTTCCAGGCAGGGATTACTGGTGACATTTTCTCTCACAGTCGTTTTTCCCATCTTGGGTAGATCCTTGTCAGCCTTTGTCTAGCTATCATTTTTTTAAAGTTCTTTTTGTTGTCCTTAAGAATTTTTTCAAGTTTTGTATCCTTCTGTGGGAAGGATTACAAATGTAAATAGCACATGTAAACAATGGGGAATGATTGTGCTTCGTATTTCTTATCTCCCAGTTCCACGCTCTTTCTCCTGCACTGTTCCTCAGCAGAATGATGAAGGGCACGTGCTCCGGAGTTGCTCTAAACTAAATCTTATTTTCCTTCCTGGTAAGAACGAGAAAGTAATAGCTTCTTCACAGGATTGATGTAGGAATTAAGTGAGATAATACACTTAACGTGCTTAGCAGTGCCTGGCACATGGTTTTAAAGTAAGTATTAATATTGCGACATGTTAATATATGCAAGTATGTTGTGAACATCAAAGGCCATGTGTGTTAGCCAAGTTTTATGTAGTAGAGTGGGCTTGAATCAGAAACTAAAGACCCTCTGTTTCTACGCCTTTTATACCACTAAACAAAACGCATTTGATTCATTTATTTCAGATGGAACTGGAAGCATTACGTTCTATTTATGAAGGAGATGAGAGTTTCCGGGAATTAAGTCCAGTTTCATTTCAATATAGGGTAAGACGTGGCGTGAATGGGAGTACTTGCTACTTTTCTAGGAAACATTAAAGGTTGCTAATAATGCTGATTTTGTTTTCTAAATTTAGTGGTTTAAATTTATTATGTCTTTGGATATTCTGAAGAATAGAAATGAAAACTCACCACTGTGACATCAATTATTTGTAACTTTTGAAAACTTAGCTCAACTTTTAAAAACTAGGATAAAACTTGTTTTTATTGTAGCAATTATAAAATGTTAGAAATGGAAGAAACCTTAGAAATTATCTGGTTTTACCTTCTAATCTTAAGAGAACTTCTCTGAATCGTAATTTCCTAAGCTCACACAGCTGATGCTGATTTATATTAGGATTAAAATCCAGGTCTCTGTTCCAAGTCTGCTGTTCTTTTTACTGCCCTATGATATAGTCAAGAAAAGTTGTCAATGTGTGTGAATGTTTTTTATATAAGTGAAATGTCGATTTTTCTTTAAAATGAAAGTTGCTCATAACTTGGTTTTCAACATGAAACAGTATTTTATTTTGTAAGTAAATAATATGAACCATTTATACAAATGATTAGAAGTAATAGTGGTATGGGAAAGTTCTTTTGTAAAAGATTTACAGTTATTGGGGCCAGCCCAATGGCATCATAGTTAAGTTTGCACGTTCTGCTTCAGTGGCCAGGGTTTGCAGATTCAGATCCCAGGCGCGGACCTAGCACTGCTTGTCAAGCCACGCTGTGGCTTGACATAAAATAGAGGAAGATTGTCACAGATGTTAGCTCAGCGACAATCTTCCTCAAGCAAAAAGAGGAAGATTGGCAACAGATATTAGCTCACAGCCAATCTTCCTCACCAAAAAAAAAAAAAAAACCAAAACCACAAAGATTTATAGTTACTAACATTATCACCATTTAAAATAAATTATGTGAGAAGTTATCCTTATAGGTGATTATTATAGGCTGTCGCAGGAAATAAATTCTTTGTAGTTACTTCTTTTAGGTACTCTCCTCTCTGCTTCTCTCTTCTCAATTCCCGTTCAAACTCAACACTCTTACACCGTTCCATGTATGTAACAACAAAGAGACTTGTAATGGCCAAAGTTAACAGTGGAGTTAAGTCCTAGGCCCTTCTCTTTGAATCCTGCTGCCTCGCCAGACTTTCCCCAGTTTCTCCCACACTCCCCTTAGCAAATGGGCATTGAGGATTCCCCTGTACTCTCCTAAATGTGTGTATTAACAACAGCAGGTATTTGTTGAGCACAGTATACAGAATGTTGTAGGACCTGTGTGTCCTATAGGATGGAGATGGATTTAAGGAGAGTAAAAGGTGAGGTTTGGAAACAGTGTGTTGAAAGTCAAAGGACCTGGGGTACATTCTGGCTGTGTCCTCTTTGGACCCCCTCGGTTCCTGTGCAGACTAGTTTTGTAGCCTCCAGAATGATTTTCCCCTCTTAGTTCTTTCTTCAGCTTCCTGCTTACACTTCACCATTAGTCCTCCCACAGACTACTAGTTAGTCCTCTGAAACATGTGATTAGTTATTTCTCTTGGTTGTAGAATGGGGATTAAATTCATTAGCTTGACACTCAAGGCCCTTCTGTTCGATTCAAACTGCCTCTCTGAACTTTCCCAGCCACTGCCATCCATAACAAGGTAGAATAGCTTGTTAAATATTTTCTTGCATTTTTTGTTTTTGTTTTTGTTTTCTTTTTGGTGAGGTCAGCTGGCCCTGAGCTAATATCTGTTGCCAGTCTTCCTCTTTTTCATTGAGGAAGATTTGCCCTGAACTAACATCCGTGCCAGTTTTCCTCTGTTTTTTTTTTTTTTGTATGTGGCACGCCGCCGCAGCATGGCTTGATGAGCAATGTGTAGGTCCATGCCCAGGATCTGAACCCACGAACCCCAGGCCACCAAGGCATAGTGTGCAAACTTAACCACTAGGCCACTGGGCCGGCCCTTCCCTGCATTTTTTTTAATACCATGCCTTTGGACACATCATTTGCTGTTCCCCTCCGCTCTCATCCATCATCCATGCTACGTCTCCTTTATTGTCTGACTCAGGCCTCTCTGTCACATTTTAGGCTGTGTCTCCTGTCTCTCCCCTGACGTCAAAGCACAACTGACCATTCCGCGTTTCTTCATGCTTTGTTCTGTCACTTTTGAACTTTTAATCATAGTGTAGGTAGTGAGTTTTCTAAATGTCTGTCTCCCTTGAAGACAGGAATGGTCTGTCTGTGTCTTTGATACCAAGCACATGTGAGGCGTGTGGAGTTTGTTTCCACACACAGCTTAAGTACCAACTTAGTGATTGCATAAAGCTAGCAACTTTTATTACTTTTTAATTATCTCTGTATTTAAAACACAGCATAAACCAGTGACGTCCATTATGCCAGTAATCAGCTTATATAGGTGGTGTATAACAGATCTGTAAGTTTATTTGACATAATTTCTCAGTCTCACCTTAGGTTTGTACGCAGTGTGATGGAGGGTGAGGGATGGGAATAAAAACTTCGTGTTCAGAAAATAAAGGTGAATCAAGTAATAATTTGGGGTGAAAATTTTTTAAATTTTATTACTGTTGTTTAAAAATAAATATTTCAAAAGAAAGCAGCAGATATACTAAAAATATTAGAGAGGAGGTTAGCATAGCCCTGTGCAAGGATGACATGCAGATTTGTGAATCATTCCATAATTTTATTAGAAAATCACCATTTTACAACCATCCATGAAATGATTGTTTCAGGCAAGGATCATTAGTGAATACTAAAACCTTTGGCTGAAAAGTTGTTGAGAAAGAAGATATTTACACAGTTCTGTAGTGTCACCCCCACAGATTACTTCTTAATTACAAAATGAAAGAGATGCTTTTAACGTTGAAGGGATTTGGGGACCATCACCTTAACCAAGTGATCAAACTTAGTATCGCCAGTGATGATTGCAGAAGATTCTGTGTGCCTCCTTATATGGTGATGTGGGAATCATACACCACATCACCCAAGTAGTCTGCTTACCCAAACCACTGAATCTGCCAGACGAAACAGTCAGTCCTGACCTGGGGACATCGTGCAAGGCAACTGGCCTAGACTCTTTTTGTCAGAAAAGACATTTAAAAGGTAGGGGAGAGGTCTGGGGACTGTTCTAAATTAAAGCAGAGTGAGAGGTTTGACAACCAAATGTAATCCGTGGTCCTCTGGATTATGGATCTGTGCGCTGAGGAGGTGGTTTATTAAAGGATACTTTAGAAACGACGGGGAACTTTTACTGTGGATTCTGAATTATATACTATTTTTGTATCACTGTTGAATTTCTTGGATGTGATAATGATACTGTGGTTATAAAGGAGAATGTCCTCATTCTTAGGATACTTTACCCATAAGTATTTGAGGACTTTTCATGATATCTCCAGTGTCCTTTCAAACAGTTCAACAAAAACCAAAGGAGGTTTTGGGGGAGGGGACTTGATTCTGTACTGTAAGAAAGAGAGAGTAGATGGAGTAAAGGGTATTTGGTGAATAAGATAGATGTCAATGAGTATTCATTGTTCTATTCCAGTTTTTCTGTAAGATTAAAATTTTTCAAAATAAAAAATTAGGGAGAGCAGGAAAATAGAAAAGACGTCTTTAAATTATTCAGGTGAAGGTCAAAAGGTACGCGTTCCAGTTACAATATAAGTCCTGAGGACGTAATGTACAACATGGTGACTGTAGTTAATAATACTGTATTGCACAGGTGGAGATTGCTAAGAGAGTAGATCTTAAGAGATCTGATCACAAGAAAAAAATTAGTAACTGTGTATGGTCAGAGATGTTAAGTAGACTTACTGTGATGATCATTTCATAATATATACAGTTATTGAATCATGTTGTACATCTGAAACTAATATGTTATGTATCAGTTATACCTCAATAAATACATAAATAAATAGGAAAAAAATTATTCAGCGGTTGCTATCCAGCCTAAGGCATTCCTTTTCCTTATCTTTTTGCCTTTTCTTTTTTTCTCTAAATTTTACATTTCATTTTCTAGTCTCTCAAGATTGATTGTGCTAATGCGTATCAGTTTACTTGTTTTTAATGCTTCATCATTTAGCAATTAGAAAACTTAAGACACAGATGAAGAATTTCAAGTTTGTAGATTATTATTTTTGTTCATTCTATTCCTTTTCCCCACAGTTGGTCTTATCTTGTCCTCACAAAGCTTTCAGGAAAGAAAAAACTCTATAAGACAGCGCCTTGGTGCTAGAAAAAGCTGGAGGGTGGGTTGGAGAGACGCCATGGACATCAAGTAAAGCTGTCACAGCAGTCTAGGAATGAGTTAAAAGTCACACTGTTCATGCTGCCCTCGCCCGCTGCTGAGTCTTAGCCTGAACCCTGAACTTTTCAAAATATTACATTTCTGATCTGATCATGAGCGTTGGAAAGAATTCATCATTTTAATGAAATGAAAGAATTCATAGTTTAATATTCTGTCTTTGTATCACTTTTTACAAGCCTAAGATTTCCCTTTTCTTCAGATAGGTGAAAATGGTGATCCCAAAGCCTTCTTAATAGAGATTTCCTGGACGGAAACATATCCCCAGACGCCTCCAATTATATCTATGAACGCGTTCTTCAACAACACCATGTAAGTAGTGTTTCATTTTCACTGCTTGTTTTTTTTTTAACACTCTCTCGCTTTTCTCTTAGCAGTGTATTTCTTGTGCGTTGTAGATCATCAGCTGTAAAGCAGAGTATATTAGCCAAGCTGCAGGAGGCGGTGGAAGTTAACCTCGGGACCGCTATGACCTACACGTTGTTTGAATATGCCAAGGACAATAAGGAGCAGTTCATGGAGAATCACAATCCTGTTAATTCCACGGTGAGCGTGTGTGATTAGTTTCTGCCAGATTTTTTTGTTGTTTTGGTTTTACTCTGCTAATAAGTAATTTTTATTAGTTTTACTATTTTTTAAAAATTGGAAGGAGACTTTGTGTTAGATTTAAAGTGAGTTACATCTGAGTTAAATAAAAACAATGAATTTTAGATTTCTTTGGTGTCTATTTAACTTTAAAAAATAAGATTTTGTTCTCTAGATCTTACCCTTCATATAAGATTTGAATACTTCATGTGCCCACCAAAACTGAGCTGTTGTAGAACCAAATATTTTTTCAAATTGATTTAGTGTCTTCATAAAGCTCAGAGAATTTCTCATGTAATGCTAAAATACGTGCGAAATTACTTTCTCCCTGAGGCTTATTTAATTGTAAATACTCTTGCTGCAGTTCAATTGGAAGGTGTTGCAACTTAAGGGAACTTTATTAAATAAGAAAAAATGTTTTATTTCTAGAATTATTTTCAGAAATGATCATCTTTTAATACCTTAAGCATCTGTGTATTAGACCCCTTTGCACCAGTTATCCATGAAAAGACTTCTCAGTGGTCAGTGTCAGTTTTTGTCTTGTGAACCAAGCTGCAAGCTTTTCGACAGCAAAGGCCATGTCTTCTGCTTGAGCGCTTCTGGCTTCCACGTTCCCAAGGGAACACACAAGACCACCGAGAGGCAGCTGGAGAAGCAGTAGAGGGTGGTAGCCAAGCTCATAGACTGTGGGCCAGACCACGTGGCCCTGAAAACCCTCCCATCACCACTTACTGTGTGACTTTGGGCAAGTTTCTTGGTCTCACTACGCTCAGTTTCTTCATCTTGGAATGAGGACTGTGACAGCATCTGCCTCGTGAGATTGTAGTAAGGACCACATGAGTGATATGTATACAACTTTTACAGCAGTGCTTGGTGCCTGCCGAGCACATTAGATTTTGCCTATCATAAACTCCGACTGCATGAACCCAAATTCAAATATTTTACTTCATTCATGAAGATTTTCTTCATTTCTTTAGGGAACCAGGATGTTCTAGTTAAGTACTGGTGGTTTTTCTAAAGACATATTTAAATTTCCAAATAATAACTATTAACTGAATTTTAAAATGAGCTTGGAACTTTAGAGCTTCAATATAATGCTGGTATCAGATCTTCTTTCTCAGGGACCTGGTTATAATGATTGAACTGAATGTCCTTTGATGTGAACCTTTAGAAGAGTGAAACCAGTGTGCTAAGGCCACCTGATCTGATAAATGAATATAATAATACAGAATTTTCTACTTCATAGATCTAAAAATTATCAGCTCATTTCAGGATATAGCCATATTTAGTGTAATTCAATAAGTTTTAAGGCATGAGTCTAAGAATTACTTCTTTTTTTCCAGACATCCATAAGCAATATCATCTCCATTGAAACTCCTAATACAGCCCCATCAAGTAAGAAAAAAGACAAAAAAGAACAACTTTCAAAAGCCCAGAAACGTAAACTGGCGGACAAAACAGGTTTGTGTTATTTTTTTTCTTTTGTAACCCAGATAAATGGGTTGCTTTTTAGTGTGATATAGGTGCTTAATAAGTATAGTTAGATTTAAGATTAGTTCTCTACTCTTTCTTCTTGGAACATTTGGATCAGACACTGTCTTAGGTCTCAGATGTATATTGAAAATATTGACTGCTGCTTCACCACCAGAGATAACCAGCCATTTGAGAAGAAGGTAACTGAGTGGCAAAGTAACTATAAATGAGTCTTGAGATTGGGGAACATTAGAATAATACACAAGCGCGGTCTACCTGTACCCTATCTGACCTGCTTGGGATTGTCCTATTTGTTTCCCTCTGTGGCAGATGTGTATGTTATTGAAAATTTTTTGAAATGTAGCTTTCATTTGAGCTGAAGTCTGGTATACCATTGATCTTAGCACAATAAATAATTTAATGTTTTTGTCTGTAGTTGATTGCTTTATATGACAACAGTGAAAGTTAAGAGTAGAATTCCTGTGTGTCCTAACCCAGAGTCATCTGATATGGACCTTGAGAAGAGTATTGTAAACTGCAGCTCATGTCACCAATAATGTTTGATCCCTTTTCTTTATTTAACCTGAAAATTTGCAAATCGATACCAGCCTGTGAGCTTTATTCCCAGTTAAGGAAAATGGGGACATTACTGTGTGTGCTTACATACATTTCTATACAAATACACAAGTGCGTGTGTATGTATACTTACATCTGTATATTTCTGTAATTGCCCTTTATTAAGAAGAACTGACCCTTTTGCTTTGGTGAGGAGGTTTAAAATAGTGCCCTTTCTTTTATAAAGTAATGATAGTTTTTTGGTCTTTTATGTTTTATTTAATGTCATCTGTGGCAGAATAAAAAGATAGCAACCCTGTGTTGGCCCTCAAAATACATTTTTGAAATTATAATGGTTTGTGAAATGAAAAGTCTGAGAATGCGTTATACCTAATGTCAAGGCAGCATTAAAGTATAAACAGCTGAAGCAGTAAATTGTCAGCCATTATAGTCTGTTTTTTAGAATTCTGGTTAATCTCTTTTTGGAATGTTTTAGCGTCTACGTCAGTTAGTTTGTTACCTGTTGCTTTCACGCATAATGACCTATGGTCATTCCCTTTCGTTAATATCTCCCCACCCCCGTCTTCTTGGTGATGCCCGTGTAAAAGTCATTGTCTTCCTGTAGTTATGCTGGAGGAGTTTGTGACTTGTAGCTTACATTCTAAATAAAACTTTAACAGGACAGTGATGGCGCTGTGGGTAAGTTTTAAGTTACCAAAATTGGTGATCTGCCCTCATACCTCTCATAACCAGTAACCAGTGGGATAAGATT